GAAGGATTTCAATCAAATCAGGGGCCAACAAATAATCTAACACATCAGGTAGCTTATTATACCATTACCTATAAATACAATTAAATAACAATTTATCTGTGATCAATTAACTTTTTTGCTAAAAATTTCCAAAGAAAATTTCAATAATTACCATATTTTAGGAAATACAAGACAATCCTCCACATCCCTCTTTGTATAACCAAAACATTCAACCCCCTCAATTTAATCCAAATTTCCATCAACAAAATGTGTTTTCTCCATCCTCTACAAATCAATTCCCCCCACATTTCCAATATTCTAGTGGATATTACCCAAACAATCAACATTTTATTCCAAACCATCCCCCCAACTATTCAGGTGATTCCTCACATTCTGGCACAGTTGAAAATTTTCCAGAAAATTTTCAAGTTAATCAAGGCTTTCCTTCTGTTTATAATACAAATTTACTTCCAACCCAACAAGCATCATCGTCTTCTTTTAAAAATATAATTGAAGGGACTACTAGTATGTTATAACATTTAAATTATATATGTATTTTAATATTTATATTTTAATAAAAGATGGAAACGATGATGAAATAATGAAAGAATTATGTAGCAATATTCAAAATATAGATGTTAATCGTAATTATTTTTAAATTTTTTGTAGTGCTCTCCATTTTATGTTTTATTACTTTAACCCTTTTCAAGTCTTATGTAGCTCCAGCTCCGAGTATTTTCAAAATTAAGGGACTTGTTTGTCCCAACATTTCCTCTTTCATTTTCCTTTCTTTAGTAAGGATTGGAATGTGAGTGAATCTATGTACATATAAAAATATTTACAAGCTTGTATTTTCTATGAGGGAATGAATTCGTGAATTTTACACTAAATAATAAAGAACTTCTTAGTTCCAAAGGAAGGTACAAAAGTTTCGACTAAAAGTGTATTTGTGGGTAAATAAGTTTTGGTTAAGGAAAAGGGGAAAGAATAACATTTATTTTCCAATCTCCAACTCTTTCATATTCCTTCGAGGGGAATTTACAACTTAGAAATTTTCTGAATAAAAAATTTTTGATTATTTTAAGAAAGAGGAAGAACGATTAACTCGCAGAGATTCCGAGAACAAGAAAAAGAAGATATTAATTCAATTAAAGATGCTTGTATCAACAATACTTTAATAGAATTACCAACAAATTTTGGTTTGTCTTTTAATTTTTAAAAATTTTTAATTAAATATTTATAGGTGATTATTGGTATTTTTTGAAAACTAGAATTTACAAAAATTTCAAATATACCATAAATAGGGATAAGGAAGCTGGCGCTTATTATCTCTGTTCCAACGAAGCTGATAAATGTAATGGAAGACTTAAATATAAAATTGGATTAAAAATTGAAGAAACACAGAAACATTTGTGTATTGGAACGGGTAATGTGTTGAAGTTTTTTAGGCTCTTTTTAAGCCTGGTAAAGGGACTAACTAGGGATGGTCTTTAGTAGAGCCCGGCTCGATACGATTTTTTTCGATATTTTTCGATATATATTTTTCGATATTATCGAAAAAATACCGACCGAGAAAATTTAAATATCGAAACAATCGACCGACCAAATGATAAAATATCGAAAAAAATATCGAACGTCATTTTGGTAAAAAATTTTAATTTTTGGCGCCATAAAGGACAAAAATGGAAGAAATCTAGCTTATTGGTCTTCAAAATTCTTAAAATTTTCGCCTGCGGCGCTGAAAATGAAACAAATCATGTATCCTGGTCTACCAAAATTCTCAAAATTTTCGCCTGCGGCGCAGAAAAAGGAAGATTTCTGGCTTCTTGTTCTTTGGATAAATAATTCAAATAATTTATGCGTATGACACTGTAAATGAAAGAATGTTGCCAACTCAATTAATGGTATTTCGATGGGTGAGAGTGATCTGAAGTAATTTTCAAAGATTTGGGATATGAGTGATATTCAAGGATTTGGGTCACTGTCCCCGTCCCGGTGGCAAAAACCACCGCAACCACCGTCACCTTGAAAACAGCCACATGACCGTAAATGTTAAACCCTAATTTGTAGGAATATCTCTAAATTCCAAGATATCCACTTTATCCCTCTTAATCCACCAAAATCCCATGATATCCCTCCTACGCCCAACTCCACAATATCCTCTTATTCCCTCTAAATCTCTCGATATGTTATACATCATAATCCTCCTATATCCCCTTAAAATCCACCTCTATACATATCTACTGATATGTATATCTACTGATATCCTCTTATATCCTTTCAATCCATCCACATGCAATTCCCCTAATATCAGTATCTCATATAATCAATCTTAATCTCAAAATTTTAACATTTATTTTACCATTTAAAATTTTTTTAAATTTTTTTGGAAAAATCGAAAAATATCGAGACTTTTTTTTCGATATTTTTCGGTTTCGATATTTTTCGATATTTACGAAAAAATATCGACCGAGAAAATTTTGACTTTTTCGATATTTTTCGATATTCGGTATTTTTCGATATTTATCGAAAAAATATCGACCGACCCCTCCGTCCGGGCTCTAGTCTTTAGCTACCCTTTAGCTACCCTTAGGGAATATAATGGTAAACGTCTCTTGATTTGATTTATAGAATGGCCCCAACATACTTCCACTTAACTTCGTATAATTTTAGTTTCTGAGGATGAAGATAAAAAATTGAAATTTTTGTAATTTCATTATGTGAAAAATTATTTTTTAATATTTTTAGAAGAAAATGTTTTTCTTGCTTCAATTTGCATTGAATCAAAATTTAAAAATAAAAAATCTACTAGTTATTCAATTTTTATAAATAACGGTAATGGAAAGGAGCAATTTATTGGAACTCAAGAGATTGGAGAAGAATGTAAGGAATACCCAATTCCTTTGGGATTGGGACAAATTTTTATTGAAATTAAATGGGTAAATGTTAATTTAAATTTGGACAATTTTAATGATGAATTTGTTGAGGTAAAATAAATAAAAAAAATTTTAGAATTGGGGGGGGGAGTTGATGGATTTAAACAAATTTTATTTTTTACAAATTAAAGGAGCATTATTTTTTTAAGTTTTTTTTTCTTAATAAGTATTGCCTAAAATTCAACATAGATTTTGCACAATATTTTTTGCGTTAGCCAAAACTCATTCTATCAAATTGTCTAATTGACAAAAGAGATTAAAAAATTTTTATTTTAGAAGACGTTCTATGTTAAAGGCACTGAACATCTAAAAAATAATTATCTAGAGAATAATTATTTGAAATTGGATTTGGATATTAATGGAAATTATAAATGGGAATTGTTTAGTGAAGAAAAAAGAAATAAATTAGAACAAATAAATAAATTTACGTTTGGATCTGAACGTGAAGAATTAATTTATAAAAAAAGTCATTTTATGGGATATTTTGAAAAGTTAATTTATCGGGCAAAAATTGATGACAAAAAGAAAAACAAAAAAAGTAAAAATAGAGGATAAATATTTAATTGGAAGTTAAATAGAAAGTTTTTGATTTGATTGGTGACTGGGGATCGGATTTTTAGGTTATAACTATATTTTTTTGTGAAATAGTCCTGATGAATTGAGCTCAAATCCGTTTTTTTAATTTTTTATTTCCGGGGAGTTACTATCACCTTTTTGAACCTATTTTGGCGTTTTAGAACCTAAAATAGGTTGTAACCTATTTTAAACAAAAAATTGAAATTCTTAAACATTTTTTTGTCTTTTTTTGATAACTTTGTCGACCTTTTTTGTAACCTATTTTCTAATTTTTGTCACCTATTTTTGCATTTTATACAACCTATTTAGGTATTTATTTTAAGGTTTTTACGACCTAATCTGATCCCTACTCTGATTGGGATTTTTTAAGATTATTTTTTTGGGATTTAATTATTTTTTAAATTTATTATTTAGAAAGTTAAAAGAGTCGTAATTGAAAATTATTTTGAATTTTTATTTAAATTTAAATTTTGAAATTATATTCCTCTATTACATCAGTTTTACATATTTTAAAAGATCAAAGAGTAAAGTGCAATTAAAAATGTTTTAGTCTATATTTACGGTACTTTTCCGTTATCCCTACACCCCCTTTTTGCGGACTGTTTTATGTAAAGAATGGTCAGACTTCTTCCCTTCTTAATTTCACCAAACTTTTCCTGTTGGGTGAAATCAAATCTCTAAATATTCATTTTAATTCAAATATCCTCTTAATTACTTTTAATCACCTGCATTGTGACTGAATCGACGTTTTTAAAAGAGAAATGTATTCAACCTTTATTAAGACCCAGACCTTAGATTTGTTTCTTTTTTAGTGCCGCAGGCGAAAATTTTAAGAATTTAGGGAGGCTGTAGGCAAAAAATTTCAAATTTTTTATCATAAAAATAACGGCGTTTTGCCGCGCCAAAATGACAAAAACACGCCAAACGCAATAACGCCAAAATCGGCCAAAAACAGCGCCAAAACGCAACGCCAAAACGTCATGGCGCACAGCCCTTTTGGCCAGTATACTATGTATTTCTCTTAATAATTATTTATTTTATTACTGCAGCACCAAAAAAGGAAGAAATCTGGCTTCTTGGTCATCCAAAAAAACTTTAGGTAGCTGAAACTTGAAGTTTTGGCTCGAGGATCTTCCATAATCACCCGATTTGGGGTATATCGGGGATTTGGAAATCTGTCGGAGGATTATAGTAATATCGGTAGATTTATAGCCCGGCCCATCCCTGGTTTAATATTTTTTTTTTATTTTAAAAATTTCGATTTTCGAAGATTTTTTGTTTCGACGCAGCTCTGTTATTCAGACAGTGCGTTTTGGCGTTGCGCCGTTTTGGGCTGTACCCCCTTTAATTTTTTAGTTTGCAAATAGTAAATTTTATGGAGTTAGATTAGAGACAATGAAATGATCCAAAATTTAGAAGCCTACTTCCCGAAAATTGTTAAAAATTTATTTTAATTTTTTAATTTTTTTTTTGTTTTAGAAATTTTGTTTGTTTGTGTACTACTAGACATTTTTAAACTTAAAAAGAGTAAACATCGAACGATTACTTCTCTTTCGCCCTCTTCTACGTCGTGCGACGACAATGGCCTATTATCTAAATGAGAGGAATATAATCACAGAAAGTGAAGACGAAAGACCATCAAAAACAATTACATCAATTTCCAATCAAAAAATGTTAAAAATTCACAAAAATTCATCAAATTTTACAGAAAATAATTCATTTTTGGATAAATTGTCACCTTCTGATCGGGCAAAGAAATTTGCGGCAATTGCGTGTGGAGAAGATGAAGTTAAGAGTGGAATGAATCTTGGAATAGGGAGTGGAACGACTATGAAGTTTTTTATTGATTGGTTACAAGAAACGATTGAAAATGGAAATTTGGAAAATATTAAATGTGTTCCGACATCTTTTCAGGTTTTTTGTTAATTTTAATAATTTGGGGAACAACCCCCCTCTCAATATTTTTATCTTTGTAAGTTAAAGTTTAATGACATTGGACCTTTCAAAAAAAACTTCGGGTTGAATCGTTAATAAGGTCAGTCATCTTCTATGGTTTAGGTTTTAACGTTCCTTCCCATCCTCCATCAATTTAGAATTTATGGTTCCCGTCACAACCTCCATTTTTAAACAGCCTATTTTTCCCTAACCTAACATGACAAAGATCGAGATTTTTGAAAAACCTGGGCCTGTTTCTGGGTTTGATTTATTGACATGGGCCTGTAATCCAGCAAAAACCCAGTCCCCGGAAAAACTTAGGAAGGTCAAAAAATGTCCCAGGACTCTGTGTACATGAAAAACCCAGGCCAAGCTCGATCTTTACTAGAGTTGTTAAGAGGGGGGAATTTAATGGAAAATTTAATTTCCATTAAATTTAATCCAGGATTCTTTTATTTTTAATTTTAGACTCGAGTTTGGTTAAATAATGCTAATTTGCCTGTCTACTGTTTAGATCAACTTAGCAATTTAGATTTGGCTATTGACGGTGCCGACGAAGTTGATAAAGATTTAAATTGTAAAATTAAATTATTTGAAATAAAAAATTTAAATTTTAAGGTATAAAAGGGGCCGGTGGTTGTTTATTACAAGAGAAAATTGTCCAAAATTGTGCTAAACGTTTTGTTGTTATTGGTGGATTTGATAAATATTCTGGAGGTTTTGGACGTGTTGCAAAGAGTATTCCGATTGAAATTGCTCCGTCAAGTCTTGTCCCTGTACAGAAATGGATTACTGAAAAACATGGTTTTTTAAATTTTTCTTGTAAAACTTTAAAACGCCGAATTTTTGGTTAACCATACTGGGACTAGGACGATTTTGAGAAGCTAGAACGGCTTTACGAAATCCATTGAAACCATTAATATATTACTGGTCTAGGGAATTTGAAACTTCTCGAATGAAACGTAATCTACGGGGCACGCGGACATATCGGGTTTCGGGACCTACGGCCACTGGGTCTTGGATAGTATATTGTTCTATTGAAGAATAGAGTTTTTATGTTTTAGAATAAGCGTAAACATGCAAGAAATTATTTTTGTCCTCCCAATCTCGATATGTTCGGTCTACGGCACGGAAAAGTGTCCCGTCTTTCATTTTTACCATATTCTATAAATTATCCCTCAAATCCTGTTATATCATCTAATGCCTTCAAATTTATTTTAAAATTATTTTAAAGGAGGAAAGTGTATATTAAGAATGGATTCTCGAAAATGTTTTCCAGTAATTACAGAAAATCATAATTATTTGGTATATTTTTAATTATTTTTTAAAATATTTTTCAAATTATTTTTTAGTTAGATTGGCATTTTCCAATACCTGTAAGTGATCATTTTGATTGGAATTTAGTTAATAATAGTTTGTTGTGTATTCCAGGTTTTTTTTTGTTATTTTTCAAAATTAAAAAAAAATTTTTTTAGGTGTAACAGAGACGGGATTATTCCTCAATGTTATTGATGCTGCTTATTTTGCTACTCCGGATGGAGAAATAAAAAAAGCAACAAAATGATTTTTTTCGAATTTTTAAAAAGTTTGTGTTTTTGCTCAGACATTCCCTTGCCTTTTCTTTTTAATTTTTAATGCCTCAGAACCAAAAAGACTAATTTTTGTTTTAAATTTATTTTTATTTTTTAGTTAGTATTTTTTAATTAAAACCCTCCATAGTTTACGAAAATATTTTCTTTCAAAATTATTTTTATTTAATCAGACCTCAATTTACGTACATTCTCAATTTTTGAAGTTTTTTTTCAATTTGGTTGGCCATGGATTTTTTTTAATTTTAGTTAAATATTTTTCTTAATTTACATTTTCTGGCTGCAAGAGTTTTGTATATAATTGAGGTCTGACTGAAAAAAATATTTTATAAATTTATCAACTTTCATTACTATTTTTGTTTATTATGGAGAGCTTCACTTACAAATTAACAAAAGAATGGAGGGAGATGAAAGAGACTATTTGGGTTTATGTGGAAGTAGGAGTAGAAAAGTTTTCTGGAACTCACAAAACCAAAAACCCAAAATATTTTTTAAATTATTTATATCCCTTCTTTTGTTTTCCTTCATTTTTGTAAATTAAATATTTAATGTAATTAATAAATTGTTGTTAAAATATGAAATTTTTTTTAAAATTTATTTTTATTGTTAAAAATACAATCGAAATTATTTTTAATTAATTTTGTTTTTTTTTAATTTAATTTTTAAAAGATTTATGCTTTTGAGTTTGGCCAGACTTTCTAGGCGACCCGATACAAGACCTTTATATCGACGTTTGCTTACAAATCGACGTTTGGATATTTTGCATTTGAGTGAGGTTTTTTAAAAATAATTTGGGGATTTTTTTTGTTTCTTGTATACTTGTTGAGGAGAAATTGTAGAAATCCATAATTTAAAAATGGGCTGGAAGTATTTGAGTTTATATTAACTTTAAACTGTGTTTATGGCTTATTAAGCGGTATCCCCGGTCTTCAATTCATATTCTATTTAAGTGTTTGAGTTTTAATTAAAGAAAGGTTTTATTCTAGTTCGGAGGATTTCTAGAAGAATCACTCATAATTTTTAATTTCATAAAACGGTTAATTTTGGTAAAAAAAAATCAAAATTTATTTTAGAAAAAAGGTCATTAACAACCTTACTTTAAGCATAAATATTAAAAAAATTTTCCTAAAATAATTATTTTTTAGGTATTGTCAGATTCATTACTCTCGCCTTTTTGCCTTACACTTCTTCATTTATTGTTACAACTGGTTTTATTTATTATCTTTACGAAAAACCAATTAAGAAACAAGAAAGGCGACGTTTGGAATTTGAAATTTTACAGGCTCAATTGGCTGGATTTAAATTTAAAGAAGAAAATAATTAAAATGAATGTTGTTGGAAAGGTTTGTTTTTGAATTAATTTTTAAATATTTTTCTTTAAAAATACACAAATAATTGTTAGTTTTAGAAAGATGGATAGGTGTCAATAAAGTTAGGATCAAATAAAGTTTCCCCATTCAATTTAGACTATAAATGGCCAGTTAAGGGTAGATTCCAAAATTTTAAATAGCCTATTTTGCTTGTCTTCACGTTCAGACTTTTTCCAGTAGTTTTAATTAAAACCTAAAAATTTGAATGTTTTTGTGTCAGACTGACATTCTTTTTTCCCATTTATCCATTTAACTTTAAATTACGGTTGCACCCCGAACGCTCGGGGGCGAGTATGACGGGGTACGGGGGTTTCAAATTATTTCGGGGCGGGGTACGCGCAACTCTAACACTAACAAATAAGAACTTTAAATTTATTTTATTCTTTTTCTCAAGGTCAAAAAAATTGGAAGCATTTACAATGGTGTTGGTGGTCGTTGGAGAAGTAATTTTATTTCGGAATTAGCCCATACATTAATGAGAAATGATTTGTCACTTTTTATTTTTGGTTTTGGAATTGGAGCTGGATTAGAATTAATTAAAAATCATTTAATTATTGGACAAGTTTCTTTTTACAAAGTTTTTCGAGAAAAGAATGTCCCTAGGGAATTGGAAGGGTTTGAAAATGATTTGAAGGAAAGGGAACAAAGAATTGAAAGTAGTTTGAAAAGAATGAGAGAAGAAAATATGAAATTAAATTAAATAGAGTATTTTCTCTCTTAAATTTGTTGTTTTTTGCTTTAAAATTTGTTGAAGGAAAAGATTACTTTGTCCCCAGAAAAGAAAGAAAATTGTTGAGTGTATGTTGAGTTCGAAAATTATCTGAGAGTTTATTTATTCGACCAAGTCGAATTCTATTTAAAAACAACCGGTCATCAGGGGATTAGTAATCTGTTGAATTTGTTTCTCTTTGATAATAAAAAATAGTAGGATTTTTTTCTGTTTTAATTTTAAGGAAAATTTTAAGAAATTTGATTTTTTGAGGAAGAAAAAGCAACAAAAATTGATAATTATTTTAAACTGATATATTAATTAAAATTTAAACTTTTATTTAAAAACAACTATTTAATTTTTAAATTAAATTGAAAATTGTTTTTGGAATTAAAAAAAAATTATTTTTTTCCTCTTTCATTTTCCCCAAATATTTCCATTTTCTTTATTAGAGCTCCCAAGTCGAAGTGTAAACGAAGCTTGTATTTCATTATTTTGTTGTTTATTATTTTCACCTAATTCATCAAGTATTGCATCTAATGGGTGATTATTATTGTTATTTTCATTTATTTTTTGTTGTTTTTGTGTAGTGGTTATTGGTGGACGGAAATTTCGAAGAGAAATTTGTCTGACTTTAAAAAATTAAAAAAATTTTTTTGAAACCAAAAACCCAAAGAAATGAAATTTTGTGGGCGTAGCCACAATGAATAACTTCTAAGAATTTTTGCTTTTTCACCGTTCAATTTCTGATCCCTCGCCCAAACATGACCCTTTAAGCTTCACAAATTCAAAATATTTTTTAAAAAAATATTTAGAATTTTTTAGAGAAGTTAAGACAATAATTAAAGGGTAAATCTATACAGAATTTTATAAAAATAGAGATTATTCCCCATTATCTAATTTTCTAACACCGTTCAATTCTCTTACCCGGAATTGCTCTCCTTTGTGTTTGTGGACGTTCCTCGTCTTGTATTATTGCTAATTTCTTCATTGTTACCTAACAAACAAATATTTTTCTCCAAATTATTAATTTAATTACCATCATATTAGCCAATGTTTTACATCTTCTTAAAAATCCATCCACCAACGGCACTTAAAAATTAATTTTAAATAAAATTAAATTTAATAAAAAACATTTTTCTTGTAATAAACGTTCCTCTCTAGCCATTCTTTCCATCGTTTGTCTAATTTCCATTTGTATTTTTCTTTGTAAAATGGGAATTTCAACTGTTTAAAAAAATACATATGTATTTTTAATAATTAAAAAATAAATTGGAGAAGTTAAAAATGAAAAAGGGAAAAAAGTTTCCATGGAAAATCCACGAAAATTGTCAGGGAAGAAAGATAAACTCTTCTAAAGGAGTTTTAAAGAAGTTATTAGCAAGAAATTTAGTGGTAAAATCATTTTTGGACGCATTGTAATAGAGAATATTGCTTCGAAATTTCAATTTGAGAAAAAAAATTAATTTTGAAGGCTAGGGATTAAAAAAATCTTTTTAGTTTTCTATTGGAAAAGGAAGGGAACCAGGGCTGGTTGCAATTGGAAAAAATTTCGCAAACGCAATCCACAACCCGAAATTTTAATTTTAAAATACGCAAACGCAATCCACAAATCGCAATTGCGTCCAGCCCTGAAGGGAACTCGAATTTATCAATTAATGTGAAATTAAACATCACAGATTTAATTAAGCACCTTTCAATTCCACAGATTCCCGCCCAATTTCCCCCAAAGCCGTAGTTAATTCATTAACTTCGTCTAATTTTAATCTTCTTGTAGAATTCAAAACAGCACTTCTAGTATTTTCTAAATTTGATTCAAAATTTTTTAAAGAAGATTGGACATTAAATAATCTATTTAAATAATTTGTAATAAATAAATTTTGTTGAAATAAATTTGTATTTAAATTTGTTGTTCTCTTTATTTGATTTAATACATCTTGTATCATTTCATTTCCATTTAATGTATTTCTCTTTAAAAAAAGAATTAAATTTATTTTTGTTTTGGTACATCTTTGAGATAATCTGAGCTGGTGGAGAGTAAGGGAAAATCGAGATGTGGAATATCTGAGAAAGAAAAGTTGTGGACTAAACATGGGGAATTATTAACTCAATCCGAACCAACTCGTTGTAAGGAGAATTACCAATGTAAAGGAAAATGTAAAATCTCACAGAGCCCTGATCTATTAGTGTTGCTCATTCAATTTTATTTATCAGAGACAATAGTCGTTTTAGATTTTCTGTTCGATCCCAACCGAGATTTTCGGTTCGTCAAACCGAAGAATCTGGGGAAACCGAAGACTGGTCCTTTTGCCCAGCCTGTTTGCACTTATTGTTTTTCCTCATTTTTAAATGCCCTAAACTTTTAAATGTCCTTTTTTTAAATTCCAAACAAACAAAAAAAACTTCCTTTACCTGAACATCCTGTTTAAGCAAATCCAAATCCCCTCTAATAACCTCCAATTCATTAATTATATGCCCCCACTCCTTAAAATCATTTTTAAATCTATCAAAACATTCAGATCCATTAGAAAGTGTTGTTGAAGTTGTGGAATCAGCCAGAGCTAGAGCCCCGTCAAATTGAAGCATTTGACGTTCAGAATTATTGTTAACATTTCCTTCTCGATAAGGCAATAGAGCACATTGAACTAATGAACATAAAGTAGCCATTTGACGTTCTAAACTGTCAACCTTTTAAATTTAAAAAATGTTAAATTTGATTTTCTTCATTAATTAATTACTGCCTTTATCTCTCCATTACAACATTGAAAAAAGATTAAGGGGTTAACAAAAGTTTAACAAAAGCCGGGAAGAATTGAGCCCGTAACCTCTAAAGTACTTCACGGTGCTACAACTTATTGCTTTCAATTTCTCCTTATACCGCCTAAGTGTTTAAAGCTAGATGAATTATCCTTATGCTCTGCTTTCTTCTCCATATTTCATCAACCGGAATTATAAGTTAAACAAAAATTGAGATAGTGAAAATAAAGATCTATCTCTGGTATTAAGTGTATCTACTAGGGTAGAAATACAAGGAGCACATATTTATCTATCACTAACTACCCCAATTCTCTATTAATTTCCACTACCTTTCTTCGTGTTTCTTCTTGTTGGTGTTGTTCAACAATTTCTTCCCTTGGAGTGCTCGATCCCGATTTTGTAGTATAATAAATAGGTGTTTGATTACCCCCAAAAGAGCAAGTAGAAGAATCACTTGTATGTCCCCCATCAATTAATATTCTTCTTTTTTGTTTGTTTTTATTAAAATTAGAGCCTAAAACGGATGCTGGTCTAATAATTTGTTGTTTATTTAATTCATCTCCCCATTCATTAATTTCTGGTTCACTAAGACATTCAATTATTGGGGCATTATTTCGACGATTAAATGAAGGCGAAGAAGGCAAATTTTGTTCAAAAAGTCTTTAAAATTAAAAAAAACTTAAAAAATATTTTTATTTGCCCTTCTAACTTGGGTTGGTTAAAATTAAAATTGAAAAAAAATTTAACGGTTAACCGAACAGGATCCAAAAGCTTGGGGGTATATCTGTTAATAACCGCTGTGCCCAACCCTGTTCTTAACCTTTAATTTGGGGGTTCTCTGCTACATTTCTCCTGCAATTATTTATACTTGAGGGTATTTGTTTCGCCCGCCATGTACAACCTGAAGGGTTTCCCTTATTCCTTACACTAATTTTAATTCGTAATTTATCCCTTTGTGAAGGTCAATTAATTTACCTTAAAACACAAGAATCTTCCAAATCCTCCAAATTTTCCAATTCATAAAACAATCCGTGTGGAGAATTTAATTTTTGAATATAAATCTTTACATTATTTGAATGTAAATGTTTGGATTCTAATAAGGGAAATGAACGCAAAAATAAACTTTTTAAATGTTCTATTGAACGTAGATTTGGGGGAAATGTTGAACGTTTAGTTTCTCCTTGATGCTCCAAAAATAAATAAATTGGTGGGGATGATGAGGATGATAAACCTTTTAATTAATAATAATTAGAAGAAGGTAAGGCAATCCCGGAGAATCGTGGTCCCTGCGGAAAAAAATCTTAAAAATAAGAAAAAGGATTTTTCTAGGGTAAAAAAATATGCTGATTACGAATCTGAACTCGGATTTTGAAAAAGTTGAATCCCGGACCCGAAATTCGGACATTTGACATTTTGGGAAAAATTTCGAATAATAAACAGAGCGCAAATTGGTCAAATAATATCTCATTCGAAAGAGCTCGACGAGCTGAGTCGAATGACATCAAAATCAGCTTGATTATTCAAGTTTGGACAAAATTATGACACAAAAAACTTAGGCTTACGTTGTTTGTTTTTTGTGGTATAACTTCGTCCGATCTTGTTCAATCACGATGATTTTGGTGTCATTCGACTCAGCTTGAAAAGCTCTTTCGAATGAGGTATAATTTGCATATTCGAATTTTTTACCCAAAATCAGCTTGGTCCCCCCTATGGTTTTTCGATATTCGAGGACCTATATTCGGGTTCGGGATTCGACTTTTTCAAAATCCGAGTTCAGATTCGTAATCAGCATATTTTTTTACCCTATAAAAATCCTTTTTCTTATTTTTAAGATTTTTTTCCGCAGGGACCACGATTCTCCGGGATTGCCGAAGGTAAGAATGACCAAAAGACAAAGGAGGAGAGTGATATCCTTTGGTTATAGATATAATGATGATTTATTTTAGTGTAACCCCCATTCCTCGCAAATTTAGAATTCCCGATATTGGAGGGAGAGACTCTTAGAATGAAGTTACTTTCATAGATATTCCTGTCTAATTCCCCTGTCCTCTCTCAAAAATCTCTATCCTCAATCTCTTTTTTGTAAATTTCTAAATTTTTAATTAATTACCTGCCCTTTGTCTACTGCTACATTCAATAGGTTCATCAAATTCATTTGACTCAGAATTTCTCATTTGTCGTAATAATGAATTTGCTCTTTGACAGTTATTCTTAATTTTTTAAAGTTTATTTTTTTAATTTTTTAGAAAGGTATTTCTTAGAGGGAATCAGCGTTTAAAATAATAATTTTTAGAAAGCCCCCCCTCCAATTCGCTGCGCCCAAACATCCCCTTCTTTAATTACTTACATTATTTCGATTAGGCCTTGGTGGTTGTGAATTTTCTCCAAAATTATTTTTATTATCTTGATTACTAGCAATCCAAGTATTTTCATCAGAAGAATTATTTCCATTTTGTGAATAATAAATTGAGGGAGGGCTTATTTGAGAAAATGAACGCCTTGGGGCCGGTTGGGGAGATTTTGGTTTTGGAGGTAATGCTGCAGCGTTGCCAGAAGGAAATGAATTTGGCAGAGGTGGGCGAGGAGGAGCTGAAGGTGGAGACAGACCATTTGGAGAGTCTAAATAAAAGGGGAAAATATTTTTAAAAGAAATTTGTGTATATTCTGGCGCGGTAATGTTACGGCGCTGACTTAATTACTTGACCCTACTTTATAACAACACAAAATCTAAAAGTTGTTATTTTTTAATTTTTACGAAAAAATCAACAACTTATTAATTTGAAAGTACTAAATATCCCTCCCCTATTACCCTCTTAAAAATTAAAATAATTAGGTATATGTATAAATCCCGCCATAATCTCCTTCCTGGCCTTCACTGAAGCGAACAGCTCTTTGTCTTCTTCCTGTCATTTTTGGTGTAGTTTCAATAATTTCTCCATCAAATAAAGGATTAGGAAATTTTTTAGCGTGAAATTCTGATTCTCCTTCTTCGTCTGTTGACTCTAAACCGTCATCCAATCGAGGAAAACGTTTTAGGCGGACTTGTAATTTGGTAAAAAGAGAGGAAGGTTTGGGCATATTATTTATCTTTCTTTACTTTTTAAAAGTGTAAAATGAAACCAATAAATGACCAGAAAAAAAGTTTTAAAAAGAAAAAGCTGACAACGATTTATTTTTACACGGGAATGGCCAATATTGAAGGAAGGAAAGGTTTAAAAGAGAAAAGAGAGAAAAGTGAAGACAATTCACGGAAATGACAAATGACTGAATGGAGAGGGAATTTGCTGAAAGGTCAGAAATTCAACAATTTGCTTTTTAAATTAAACTAGTATATAAATTCCAGCAAATTATATTAAAACAAAAATATTGGGATAATAGTTAGAGAATTTTCCTAACAAAAGAGTCATTGTTTTTCTTTCGTGTTAATTAGGGGAATTGATCAGTTGGTGAATTGCTCTCTCTAAACAGTTTTGAGAAAGATCTTTAGGGGCGATAGATTGGTCGAGAAAACTTAAGGAAAAATTCTTTTTAGCAAATAAAGGTATAGTTAAAGAGGCACACACTTTACAACAAAACAAAATAGCAATAATAATAATAACAAGATTAAGTAGATTTGTGTGAAAGAAGGAATATATTTTTAAAGCTAAAAAGCTAAAAAAGAATCTTTAAGTGGAAGGAAGAAGTTGGTTTTAAGTTGAATTTATGAAGAGAAAATATTCTTGAAAAGAAACGTTGTTGGGGGGGGGGTATTGAAGGAAATAAATATTTATTATGGAAACATTAATTAAAAAGAAAGCTTTGAATTATGTACCGTATATTAGAGATCGGAATTTTGTTCCGTACCGTATTCCGTACCGTAATACCGAAAAATACCGATGAAATTCAAAATGTTGCCGTACCGTATTCCGTACCGTATTACCGACTGTAATACCGATAAATACCGAGAAATACCGACAAATACCGATGTTTTTCATCGGTACCGTATTCCGTACCGTATTTTTTTTCAAAATTTTTCCGTACCGTATTCCGTACCGTACTACCGATACGGAATACCGATAAATACCGAAAAATACGGCCGTAGTACGGACGGTCCGATCTCTACCGTATATACTGTATTTATTACCCTCCCTCAAATAATTACCCCGCCTGCTTTTATTACCCCCTCCAGCGAGAGATCGAAACAATAATTACCCAGGGTAATTAATACAGTATATACGGTAATTGTATTAGGGTGAGTAATATAGTTAATTTTATGAAGCGACGTTGATTTTTAAATTTTTTATTTAAAATGAGATAAAATGAGAAAAATTTGTCTTAGCAACTAAATGATTTTCAAAAACGTTGATATATTTATTAGAATTGAAAGTTTGGGAAATGCCGGATCCCGTTTAAGGATTTATGAATTTCTTTATCCGGACCGGATTTTCGAAATCAAAATACGATTTTTATCAAAATACCCGTCGGGACTACCGGATTCGGTCCGGGTTTCAACTCTAATATGTAAAATTTAAAGTAAATTTTTTAAAATTATTGAAACGCTAAAGATAAAAATTCTCCACTACATTTGTAAAAAGCAACTAAACTATGTACTTATTTACCTTTATTTAAAATTCTTCGATTTGTCTTCATTTTCCTTTCTCCTTCATTTATTTTTTCTGATTTAATTTGAATACAACGTTCACACAAATCATCCCCAAAAGGCATAGAAAATACTTCATTAATATCACAACCATAATCTGATCTCCAAGTAGTTACTGGCCTTTGTCTAATACAATTAAGCAACATTTTAGCTACTAAAATATACTTTGAATTTTATTATGTGGGCATTATTTAGAGAAGGAATGTTTGAAAACCAAACATAAGAGCCTCTATTAATGAGAGGTAAATGAGGGCCTAAATGAGGGGACTTAAAAATGTTCTAAATTATAGGGGGCATTGAATAATAGCGTGACTGTATATTTAATTAAAAGAAGTATGTAACTTAGTAAAGGCAAAGGCGTTGTTCAAAACTTTTTTAGATTTAGTAATTTTCAATAATTAATAACTTATGATAAAAATATTAGAGATAGCATTGGAGGTTTGTCTGACTGGAGTTTTGTACGAGAGTCTCGGTCTCGTCTCGGTCAGATCCATAATAATAGATGAACAAAATTTAATTATTAATCTGTTTGTTAAAAATTAATCCGTGATAACTCCACCTAATGAGGCCGAATTATTATCTACTATATTTAAGGGTATATATCAAATAACAAAATTTTAAGTTATTAAACAAAAAACAATTTCTGACATTGATTTATATTTATTAATAATGCATGGAAAAGACGAGGAATAGACAAATTGTTTTGTTTTTTTCTAACCACAAATCAAGGAAAAAATGATTGGGCACAGTTGCCCAATCATTATTATTTAAAAAAATATTTGACATAATAATGTTTATATTTGACATAATAATATTTAATATGTGATATGCAAAAATATATATTTTTTTTAAATTAATATGCTGTTCATAAAAGGAATTATTAAAATAAAAAATTGTGATTGTAAGAGTCTGCGGAAGTAAAACTTTGAAAGTTAATTCCGGGGAGTCTGAAAAAGTGCCCGAAATGTGGAAATGAATAAAGCATTCTCCAATATGTGGAATAAACTAGGGTAGCACCCCGTCCCCCGAAACTCCGACCTCCGAAGGCTCTACCCCGGCGACTCCCGGACCCGAAGGCTCGGGGTGCTACCCTAGAATAAACTATTAGAGGGTTCGAATTTTGAGAGGGGTGAATTTAAGAAAAATTTAAAGGAAAGGGGGAAGAAGTAAAGAAAATCTTCACAAATTCCTCTTTACATTCAAAAAAAGGATAACATAATAATTTTTTCAATTAAAAATTTTTTTCAAATTTATTCTTCATCTACCAAAGAATTTAAACATTCCTCTTCGGGTAACGGCCTTCGTTTCCAACGTGGATTTGCTATTAATAAAAATACACAAGCAGAAAACCCAATTAAAGAAAATCCCAATAAATTAGAAAGTAATTGACGTCCACAAAGTTCTTTCCCGACAGTCCAACAACTTTTAAAAAAATAATTTTTAATTTAAAGTCTCTCAGATTTCTAAATACCCATGATGCCAAGCAGCATATTCAGAAATCCCCAATAAAGCTGTAACTGTGCAAGCAAACAAAATTAAAAGTCCCCCCAATTGGTGAAAAGGTAAAATTGCTCTGCGAAAATCTTGAGAAAGTCCTGGCCAGAAAAATGAAAGAAAACCGGCACCAAACTTTTTAAAAATTAAATAGAAATAGAGAGGTAGAAAGTATACCTGAAGAAAATAAAAAATAACAGAAGATATTCCAATCCAGGAATGAAGAGAAACTAGATTGGGTAAAGGGTCATCCTCGCCTTGGCTGTTTTTATGTAAATCTGTTGAGGGGGAATTGTAATTAGTGTTTTTATTGTTTAGAAAAAATAATTAATTTATATATCCATAGATCTTTGTAAATAAGGATTGGGAAGTGCTTAGCTGGGGTCTAATTCACAATTACTATAACACCGACAGGGATCCTGCTAAAGTAAAACAAAATTTGTTTGCTTCCCCTCCCATCAAAGCCTAGTTTTAGGTATATTCTGAAAAGTCCAAAATTATAAAGGCGACTTTAGACTTCAATAAAGTCAGTTACTAATTTATATCTTAAAATTGGCTGTTGAAAGGAGAGAAGATAATTTTACAAAAAAACAATATTTCCAATAAAAATTCAAAAATAACCATGAGAATCCCAAACAGCCTTTAGGGCAATTAAAACTAATAAAAGAGCAACAGAATGTGTTGATAAATGAAGTAACTTTTTTAAAAGAGAATTTTTTAAAATTAAATTTTCATTTTAAAATTACTTTAACAAATCGTTTACGTTCATTTCTGTAAAAATATTAAGGGATTTTTTTTAATTAAAAATACAATATTTACCGAAAAACTCGATAGACTAGACTTTAAAAAAATTAAAAATTAATTTAAAAATAAATTATATTTTTTATACATAGATTCGCCCTGAAGAAAAATAACAGCAATCACCATAAACTAAAAATAAAAATATTTTTTTCTATTTATGTAGATTAGAGGTCGGCAAAATCGCATCCCCGTAACGGGATTCTTTTCAACAATTTTTACGGGAAAGGATCCCGAGGGATTAATCCCATTCGTCGCTTAAAATACGGGATTTCGGGACAGGATCCCGTAAAATCCCGTAAGGGATCCTGTCCCGTGCTGACCTCTAATGTAATTATTTAAAATAAATTCTCAGGCTCAAATAATTTTTATTTGGGAGATTTTGGGAGAAAAAAAGAATAAAAGAGTAAATTAGAGTATTTAAATATTTAATTAATTTTAAATTTTTTCTCCAACCGTTGGGTGATAATGAAATTGTTTTGAAGGGTTTTCACTCCAAGAAAACCCTCCATCTTCAAAAGCCCCCATCCATATAGCAACACCAAAAACTGCCAAAATTCCAAAACATTGGGAAAGAATAAATAAATAATTAAATAATTTTGTGCTTTGTCGTTCATCCAATAAAGGTGGGGATTCGAAAATTAATGACATTAATTAGAAAGGGATCTAAAATTAAAATTGAATGTATTGAGAGGGAATTTAAATGGAAGATTTGGATATTTTTAAGATTGGGGGAGAAGGGGTGGGGGTAAATAAAAATGAAGTAAAGCAGTTGGGCTATAGCTATTTCTCTCCTTCAGCCAGTGCAAAGGTTAATCGGCGGCTGGGGTCATCGGTTAACCGAAGCCGAAGTGACAAACCGAACCGAAAATCTTCGGTTTTTCGGTTCGGTTTGAAACCGACAACCCTATCTGTGAGCGAACCAGCATCTTCATTAGACTGGACTGATGTGTTAACCATTAAACCACGCCACCTAATGCACAGCCTTATGAATTAAACAGCTATATGCTTTACAATGAGGATTATCTTTTAGGAATCTTGAAAAACTGAGATTTTTGAGTCAAAAAAGTTTGCAAATATTAGAAGATTTCTAAAGCTTCTGGCATTAAAAAATAAAAAACCTGTCTCTTCAATAAAAGGAAAATAAAATTAAATAAGTCTAAAAAACAAGAAAATACTAGAGATAAATAAACATATACACTCACTAGCTTTAATTGTTGGAAGGCTAAAGAAAAAATAAATAAAAATTACTACACAATTTTAGTTAAAAAAAGACACATGCGAGAATAGAGAATCGATGTGGTTGGGTTGTTTATATATTTGGAAATGGCCTTTAAAAAATAAAAATAATTTTTTTTAGGAATTTTGTGTTAACAGAAATATTAAAAGAGAAAACTTTTTAATTTAAAAAATAATTAAAAAGAAAACTAAAATTTATTCTTTAAAAAGGAAAATATTAAAAGTTTTGGAATATTTTATTTTTTATTTAAAAGAGAAATCACAAAAAGAGGCCAACTGGGTAACGGAATTTTAGCCTCAGTCTCATGTCAGAATTTCGGTAAAGGCTGTTTTAGTGTCGAGGCCATATTTTGGGCCATAACTTTTAGCTAAAATAATCCTCCCATTAATAACTTTCGTTGATATAATAATATTTATGTCGGTTAAGAAGCAAGAAGGTTGACCCAAAAACGGCCTCGAATCTGAAACAGCGATTCTGAAAATCGTTCAGTACCACAATATTTTACCTTATTATTAGCTTTATTTCTGGATCCCAAAAACACAAGTTGTTTCCTTCTCTTTTTGAAAAATCTAAAAACGAGTTATCCAACTTAATATAAATCAGAAATTTGTCAATTTAAGAAAACAACTTGTTTTGTTTGTATTCCTCCCCCAAAAGTATTTCGAATAATTAATTTCCACAAAATTTAATTAAAAACCTAAATTATCTTCTCTTCCTTCTTTATTTTTAAGTAAAAAGTACAGGCAAATCATCTTCTTCATCTAACATATTACGAATTGGACGTCCATCATCTGGTTGTCTCTCATTATACTCATCTTTTGTTTCAGCCAAAGCTCTATCTCTCTTCTTTTTTGCTTGAATTTTCTTCATTCGAAAGAATTCTTCTCTTTCCATTTCATCCAATTCTGTTACTAAAAATAAAAAAATTTTTAGAATGTTAAAATAAAATTTTAATCAAATTGAGTGGCACAACTAAAATTAAATTTAAGAAAACTTAAAATTTTAAAGATAGGGAGAACCGGGAAAACATTCCCTTCCAAAAAATTTTCCTATTTACTCTTGGACTCAATCTGGATCCTAAACTCTAAACTAGCATTAGAAGCCTTTTAAATAAACAAATAAACAAACCAATATAAGTCAAAGTATTTTCAATTTTAGGAATAATAACATGCTCAATAGCATTAACACGTCGATTAGTAATTTTTATAGCTTCATCCAAAGTAATAAAACAAGTTTGTAATGTTGCAAGTTCAACCAATAATTCTATTGCTTTATTGTAATTCTTAAAAAATAAAAATATTTTTTAATTGTTAAAAAATTTTCTATTAATCGATCGTTAACTAATTGTAAGTAACCAAAAATTCAAAAAAATCATCTTATGAGGAAACAGAAAGAGTTTTTCTTGATTTGAAAAATAAATTTTTAAATAAAAAACCTTTTTTAATTTCCCAATATTCGCTCCACCCTTTCCAAGTCCTGTCAAATTATAAGCATCCCCATCCAACCCTTCACGTCTATGAGCTTCAAACACGGGAAGAAAAACACCTAAAAAATAATGTTTAAAACCAAATTTATATTTAAACAAACCAACAACATTATCTTTCCTCATTTTAATCTAAAAAAAATAAAATTTGAATTAAAAACAGACAAAAAAGCCTAACAGTGTATTGAGCCTGTGTAGAAACATTTTGAACGACATGGGGAGAAAAATCGCCAGCAGTAAATTTTGCTTCGGCCAAAGAAAAGGCCGCTTCTTTAAGTATTTCTGCCATCTTTTTCTTATTCTAAAATATTAAAAATGTCAGAATAAATGTATTTTTTAGCAATAAAGATCGAACTGAGCCTGGACGAAGGCCTGGGTTTTTCCAGTACCCAGAGTCCATGCCCAGGCATTTTTTGACCTTCTTGTGTTTTTCCCGGACTACAGGCCCAGGATCTGACATAGGTCAATAAATCAAACCCAGAACCCCAGAACAGGCCAAGGCCTTTCAAAAACTCGATTTCTATTAAACAGTTTTTAAGTAAAGGTAAATGCCCTCCAAAAACATCAAAAATTAAAAAAAACCTCCGTAATTTTCTTCAGAATTTCACGAAAACGCAAATTCAAAGCATCCGCCTTTTTCTTCAACAAACTATGTCCTTTCTGAGCACCTTTAAGACGAGTCTTCATTACAGATTGTGCCCTTTTATTTAAAAAATAAATTTTTAAAAAGATTAAAAAACAGCTTACATTCGAGAAGGAAAAACAGCAATTCTATCTTTGCCGCCACCAGACATTTTGTTAAAATTTATTTATTTGTATATATTCTAAAAATAAAAAGAGTACGAAAAACAAGAAAGTATCAAATTTAAAAACAAATTTAATGGAGGTCAATTTGGCAACAAAGCTTAGAAATTAAGGCACGTGAATTTTTCACCCTTCCTTTGAGTAAAAAAAATTTATTTTTACAGTTAACGAGATAAATAATCAAAATAAACAATACTAAAATTAATCACAAAAAAATAATTTGATTTGTCCCCGCGACCAAAAATCGTTAAAAACAAGATTTAAATTTCCGCCAAAAATAAATAAATTCGTTTCGAAAAATTTTCTTTCAAAAAGGACAAAATTAGGAAATCGATCATGTGGGAAACGCCCAAAATGGCGCGCGTTCACAACGCGCGAAGCCATAACTAGCTGTTTCTGGCCTTTATCAATTTTGGTACCAATTCCTTTAGCCTGACGAGAGGAATCGTTTCATACTAAATTTGTTAAAATTCGGAAAGTTTGAAGCAAGTTATGGCTCTGCGCCGTTATGGCCGCGCGCCCTTTTTCCCTTTTGGGCTATACCCCGATCATGTGCACCAAAGCCATGTGAAGATCAATACATATTTTTTAGAAAAGTAAATTCATGTTGGCAAGGAAGGTTATTAATCTATTAAATGTAAATTACTAATACCTGACAAATTATAATTTTTAAATCCTTCTTTTTAGACTAAAAAAGTAAACTTATTAAATTTTAAGTTTAACATTTAATAAAAAAAATTAAATAAAAATTTAACAAATTTTCATGGATTTGGCAAGTCCAGGCGATCCTTTGTCTAACAACGAGCTTATTCTTAGAATACAGGTATATAAAAAATTAAAAAAATTTTAATCTTTGATTGTCCCCCCCCCCCCTCTCCCCTCCCTCAACTTTATTTTTTTGCTTTGATCATGCCCTCCAATCCTTTTATTGGCATTTGAAGGAAATTTGTGAATACTGCGGGTTTGTTTCATTATGAAACAAAAATTTCCTCAAAAATATACTTCACAATTAATCCTGAGAAATTAGAAAATTGCCGGTTTTGATTGTTGACTGTTAAAAATTGGTATATAAATGTGAACATAAATATTCTCATTTTAAAAATAAAATGAGCTTTAATTCCAAAAATCTTAATAAAATTTCTGATAAAATAATTGAAATAAAACCCTCCAAAAATAATGAAAATATTAAATGCGATAGGAAAATAAATTCCAGTAAAGACGGAGAGGATTGTGATGAGGTATTTAATTTTGGTGTTAAATCGAGAAATCAACACAAAATCTCGGTCACTGGAATCGAAACTTTTAGAGTTATTACTCTCGATTGATGGGGTCTGAAAAGATATTTGGGTTGTGAATTTATCTTCTCACAAGGGAACATTTTGAACTGTAGTCAAAAATTTCGGATTTTCTTTTGCACGATCGTGTAGAGCAAGGTCGATAACCTATTGCCAGTTTTTGGCTTTTTTGGCCCTGACCCCCATTCGAAAATTTTCCTGTGCAAGTTAAACTAATCTAAAATTTCCTTCAAAAATACTAAAAATCTTGGAAATTTTATAAAAAATACATATTTAACAGAAACTCGGATCTTCATTCACTTCTAGTATCGAAATATGTCAACAACAAATTTTAGCAATACTTGGAGATATACCTTTAGATACTATTTCTACTGCCAGACTGGTTAGTATTTAATGAAAAAAATTTAAACAAAAAATTTTTTTACTAAAAGATTACGGCGATGATTATATCTACAGGAGAATATTATTCCTCCTCCTCTTCTTCATTTCCTCATGAAGAAAAAAGTAATTGGGATATGCTTTTAAGTGGACCAAATGTCACTTCAACAGCCATGCCTTATGATGGGGCTATTTTTGTAAATGCTATTCGAGCTATGGTTCGGGAAAAAAATTTTTTCTGAAAATTATTTTAAAAAAATTTCAAGTCTCCAACATTGGATTGGTCAGAAGTTCTCCAAACATTGGATAATCAACATTTTTTTATCAAATCAAAAAATGCTTTACAATTACTTATGATTATTTTAATAACGGGAATTGCCCCAAATCCTTTCCCTATCGGACTAATTTATCGATTATGGGCTGGAAATAAAGGTGGACAACTTTCTTTGCTCAGCCAAATTATTCATCATCCGGATGTGGTAATTAACTAGATTTGATAGTTTATGAGGAATTTATTATCTTTTTCATATACCCCGATGTCGTGGATTCTCACTAACAATCCCCTATTAAGTACCTCTCCTTCAAAGATTTCACTTATACTAACATTTATTGCTTAACTCTCTAGGCTATCCTGGCATCTAGATTATTCTTTTACCACCTATTTTTTATCTATATATCCTGCCTGGATTAACTATGTCTTAGAAATATTTCTGGGTAATCCTGCAGAATCTGGGAGACACCTTAAAAACATCTTAAAAATTATTATTTTTTTCTCAGAATAATTTTATATAGGTAATCGACCATGCTGGACACGAATCTGAGTTTAGAATTCGTTTATTTCGAACCCCGGACTTGATTTCGACCAAGTCGAAATTCGGGATAAAAATTCGGTATTAAAAATTTAGGGCTATTCTGATACGCGTATTCGAGCTGAGTCGAATGCCACCAAAATTATCGCGATCCGACTAAATAGGGCCGAGTTACAGACCCCCGAAATTTGAAAATTTTTGGGGTCAAAAAATCGAAAATCCAAATAATAGCTCATTCGAGAGAACTCGGCGAGCTGAGTCGAATGACACTAAAATCAACTCGATTGTATGATTCTGAACAACCAACGGAATCTTCGGTGGAAAAACTTGGCATATACTAAAGCGCCCCCAAATCAAGTATATGATAAAAATCATAGATGAAATGTCACATTTGACAAAATCTGATATCAGATTCGTGACCAGCATGGTCGATTACCTATATAAAATTATTTTCAGAAAAAAATAATAATTTTTAAGATGTTTTTAAGGTGTCTCCCAGATTCTGCAGGATTACCTATTTCTGACTACTACTAAGTAATCCAATACTAAAATTTAAGGATAAAATACATCCTCCTTCTCTTTCCCTCATCCCTCCCCAAAATTTATTTACCATTCCCAAGTTATTGTAAAAGATAGGAAGATTTTAGATAAACAGTTAAATTTTTTAAAAATAATTTTTTCTTACTTTTTCCGTTCTACGTTCTCGACTATCCACACCATCCTGTTGGAAATTTGGGATGTTTAAAAGTCTTTCCAGACGAATCAAACAGAGCTGTGGGGATGTGGAAATCTCTGGATTTAGTTGAAATTATATTTCGATTGGGGGATATTCCGGCTTTGAGTAATCAAGTATTGACTTTATTGAGAAGAAGGTTTTTTGTTTAGATTTTGTGTTGATAATATGTTTTTAATTTTCAGTCCAGGACCGATGGCATTATGTCCAGATTTGCTCTTTCTTGGTGTTTTGCAAATAAGTGTATGTATTTAAGTATCAGAATTTTAAACTATAGATGTATTTAACAAATAAAAATAATAAAAAAAACACAAAGTATTGATAGAAGAGGAACGCTATTTTAATTCTCTAACAGGAAAATTCTGATTTAAGAAGTTCTTTATTTTTTTCATAATTTCTGATTTTTTGATTAATAAAAATCAGAATTTTTTCCTCAGTCAGAATTCTCTCCTCAATTCTTCAAAATTTTATCAAAATAATTTCCAAATTTATTCAGATGCCAATGACTCAATTTCGTGTTCATGTACTTAAATACCTCGTATCAGTTTTATTATCTGGCCATTCAAATGCCGTCCCAGTATTTCAATTTGCTTGGAATTTCGAAAATCATCGTGTCCAAATGCGTCAAATTTTGTTTGGTTCAATGGCCGCTTATTATTCACAAAATCCGGAAGACCAAAGCCGTTTAACACGAATTTTGGAAATTACACACGAATTGAAAGGGCTGAGTGAATTGTTGAGTATAAATCAATTCCCGTTTGTTATTGACATGGCTATTTTGGCTGCGAGAAGGGATTTTTTGAAATTGGATAAATTTATTGAAGATAAATTAACTGAACACGGTGAGAAGGAAGGAAGAAATGAATTATTTTGGGAGTAGAAAATACGAATTAATTAGTTAAATTATTGTCCTGGGTTAGAGGAAGAATTTTTGTTTTAGGGATACTCTAGCTGAACAGAGGCAATCCTGTTTAAGCAATCCCGATACTAATTGTGAAAAATTCTGTTCGTTATTCTCATTTCTTCAAAGCCTTTCTTTTCCTCTTCAATTAAGGAAAAGAAGATTCCTCTTCCTCTTACAAACTCTCTCCAATTGGAACCTCTTCATTCCCATTCCATTCCTTCCTTGTAGACCCTCTTATCTCCTTTTTGATTTTAGAAATTTGTTAATTTCTCCGCCTTGGGAATGAATTACCTCCTAGAAACTCTCTCCAACTGGAACCATCCTTCTCCCGCGTAATACTTATTCCTAACTAAAATCAGAAACAAATAAATCAACACACCTTTATATATAGGAGAACGATTTGCACAAGATTTGTGTCAAGCTATGAGAAGGCGATGTCCCGGTCTTGGAACTAACAATCCATTATCAACAGAAAACTTCCAATTAATATTCTCAGCATTACAACCAAGAGCAACTGCTTGGCCAATAATAGCCACAGAATTAACACAATTAATTGGATTGCTTAGAAGCAAGGCAAAAAACAAATTTATTCATTTTTCAAAATATTAAATAAATTTTTAAGGCTATTCCAAGGACAGGTACTTCATCAACATCTTCAACTTCAACGTCTTTCATGGGAGGAGGAGCTCTTCCATTTATGCCTATTAAAATGAATGAAGGAAGGACATCTGCAGGAACACCAGTTATTGGATCTGGGGCAGCAGGAGCAGGAGGAGGGCATATTGGAACTCCAAATACCCCAACATCAAATCCTTTTACTCTTTTCCAACAAAGAGATCAAATTATGCGCAATTTACGTTCAACACCTGGAAATGAATTTCGAAGTCCCGACTTTCGAAATTTGTCACATTTACACAGTGGATCTCCTAGCCATGGAAATGTTGATTTTGGAGGTCTGATTGCTGTAAAAATTTAAAACAAAAAATAAGTAACTTAATTCCAAAAAAATCACAACAATACTGTCAAAGCTTTAAAAAATCGCTTGAAAAATCATTCCAATACATAGAATTGGCATTCTGACAATTTAAATTTGGACATTTTGTCCTTTCCAATTTAAATTTTTTTCTCCATTTTTTTTTTCATTTTTGTTTGTTTTCGATATTTTTAAGCGGTACTTTTTAAGAAATTTTAAATTAATTATGTATGACTTTACTTAAAAACTCAAATGCTACAACCAACAAATCAATACCTGACTTATTTAGATGACTTGAGCACTGTTGTGTTTGCTGAGGAAATTCAGGAAGAAGCAAATTCCTATTTTCAACAAGTCTTTTCTTTTTTAGTTCAAATTTATTGATTATTTTAATTTAAAGATTTATGCTCCAAATGGACGGATGTCTGTTGCAGAATTTATTTCAAAGCTTAAATCGTTCAAGATCTCCGCTAATCCTCGGGATAGGGTAAATTATATATTTCTGTTAAAGTTTTGTCTGCGATTGGTTAGAATGTCTGAAACCCTAACGTTGATCGTTTTTTGATGGATTTCCTGTCTCTGTTACTATAAAATATTCTTGTTGTTTAGACTCTCTCCAATTGTAGACAAAACTTACGGACTTCAGTCAAACTCGCTTATGTTCTTTTATTTTAGGAGCTTCTCCTCTGTGTTATAAAAAATCTGTTTGACGAATACAGATTCTTCCGCGAGTATCCTGAAAGGGAATTGCGAACAACGGCAGAAGTCTATGGAGGCATTATAAGGGAAGAGATTGTTGAGTAAGTTTCTTTAAATATTTTTCTTTTCAAATTTAAATTAGTTATAGACAAATTCAATTTGCTACGGCTGTTCGGCGTGTTATTGAATCATTAAATGATGAACCTGGAAGTATGCTTTGGACTTTTGGAATTATTGCTTTAAATAGCTGTCGAGCAATTCTTCATAAATATCCAAAATTTTGTGAGATGGTTGTTGCTCTTGAAAGTTTTAATCGCTTTCCTTCTGGACTCAAAGACTATTTGACGTTTGGAGTTAAAAGTCAACTTCCTCCAACACACAGTGGTGACAGAGGGGATATTACTTGGACATCTGGACAATCCTTTATTCCGACTGGAGGAATGATACAATCTTCTCCCTTCAATATTCCAATGATTGGCTCGACACAACCTTTGTCAATTCCGCCAAATATTGGAGGGATGAAGTTTTCTGCTCCAAGAGGACTTAATGCGGTAAGAAGATCTCTTAAATTTTTAAAACCTGATTAATCCATCCTTTTAATTTCAGGGAAATTCCATGTTAAACGTCACCAATGTCGACATTCTTGTTAGTGCAACTGAGAGAGATGGTACACAAGTCAAACAACCTCCACAAGTTGTCTTTGAGAAAGTTGCTTTTACTTGCAACAATTTGTGTACTAATAATCTCATGGAAAAGGTTTTTTCCTTTATAAAAATTTTGTGCTTTTTCCTTAACAAACTATCAAAATTTATTTCCTCTTACTTTTCGTGTTCACAACGTTCCCAAATTCTACAATCCTTCCTTGATATACTAATCATAAAACATTTTCAGACTCAAGAAATCAACGAACTCGTAAAGGAAGGTGGCGAAGACTTCAACAAATGGTTTGCCCAATATCTGGTTATGAAGCGTGTAACTGTCGAGCAAAACTTCCAACCTCTCTACAATTCTTTTTTAATGCTAATAAACAACGAGACTTTGGATGAATTTATTCGTAAAGAGACTTTTCGAAATATTGATATTCTTCTAAAAAGCGACAAACGCCAAGCTGTTTCTAATTTTGGTGATCGTCAATTACTTAAAAATCTTGGACATTGGCTTGGAATAATTACTATAGGAAGAGATCAACCAGTTTTGGCTAGAAATTTGGATTTGAAGTATTTGTTGATTGAAGCTTTCTATAAAGGACAACAAGAATTGCTTTATATTATTCCATTCGTGGTTAAATGTTTGAATGCGAGCGCTAAGAGCACGGTTTAATTTTATTTTATTAAAATTAAGGGACGTGGTTCCTAAGTTAGGATTTTGCTTCTTTTAACAATCCTTTCCAATATCCTGTTTTCTCGGGGTCTATGTCCTATTTCCCCATACATATTTGATATATTTTTAAGGGAATTTTATAACTCTTTTTCGACATTTTATCTAGTTATTAAATCGTTTTGCAGATTTTTGGACCTCGGTGTGCTTGGATCTATTCTCTTCTCAAAGTGCTTGTCGAAATTCACAACGAACCGGACCTTAAACTCAACTTAAAATTTGAAATTGAAGTTTTATGCAAAGACCTCAGTATTGACTTACGAAGCGTTGAAGTTGGGAATTATTTGAAGGAATCTAGCAGACTGGTTAGATTAAAAAAATTTAACACTAACAAGGAACCATCGTTTACTGTGACTGCGAATTTGATATATTTTTTGGTACCATTCGATAGAGGATCCTCGACTTAGTATCGTGGCGCTATCCGTTTTCTTGCAAAATTAGTTTGGGCCGAGTTATGGCCGTTCAAAGTTAGACGCTAGAGTCTGAAGTTATTGGGTAAATAAACATTTTCTCTCTTATTTTTCATCCTCAAAGAACCAAGCCACGCCCCTTCTCTTTATTTATAGTGTCTGAATTTTTCTCCCTTATTTTTTTCTTCGCGCCTCTTGCATTCTTTTTTCTTCTTTGTAAGACAATGTGAGGAAAGCAGAGAGAGTGGAAAAAAGTAACAGCGCGCTTCTTTTAGCTTTTTTCATTATACTCAACCACTCCCATGGAATGAAACTTTGAACGGCCATAACTCGGCCCAAACTAATTTTGCAAGAAAACGGATAACGCCACGATACTAAGTCGAGAATCCTCTATCGAATGGTACCAAAAAATATACCAAATTCGCAGTCACAGTAAACGATGGTTCCTTGTAAGTTTAATTATTTTTATTTTTAGCCAAAACTTTTACCTGTCAAACCAGATGGTCTTTCGCCCGTTCCATCTTCTTCTATGGGACCACTTCAACAGGCTTTCCATTCAGGAATGTCCATGTTTGGTGGAGTAAATAGGCCTGGTTCTGCTTCAGAAATGCTCTCGAATTTAAATATCTCGGCTACTGGTGGAAGAGATTCAGCATTTTCTGCATCGCCTGCCTTTTCTTCACAACAAGCTTTGCAATTGCCTTCAAGAAGTTCTGTTCAAACTCCGGCAATTCCAGCTTTCAATTATGCTGATTTGAACATTTTTACTCAATCAGGTTTTTAATTAAGATTGAAAGTACTAGTAAGATTCATCCTTTATTATTTATTATCCTTGCACTTAAACTGAATTCTTTTATAGAATTAATTTTAGTAGTCGTAGAAATTAATGCTTATTTTTAAATTTTTAATGCATTTATTCTGTTAGGTCTTTTGCAAAATACAACAATTCCACAGCATCTTATTCTTTTCCAAATGCATCCAAATTTGAAGTATCTCTGCAAGAATGCAATTCTACATGCAATTAAAGAACTTATTGGTTTGTTTTATTTTTATAACTTTTATAATTTTCCTTTAAACAATCAGGTGGAATTGCCGATCGTGCAATTAGCGTTGCAATAACTGCCACAGAACATGTCTGCCGTAAAGACTTTTGCCTCGATCCATCAGAGCAAAACATTCGTCGTGCAGCTCATCAAATGATGCGTGCAATGACTGCAGGAATGGCAGCAATTACATGTCGAGAACCATTGGCAACAACAATGCTTGGAATGCTTAAACAATCACTTTGTAATTCTATAGGAAATATTCTAACTGGAAGTGATCAAGCAAAAATGATTGACGAGACAGCAATTGCTGTAACAGAAGCAAATATTACTTTGGCAACAAATTTCATTGTCAAAAGTTCTTGCGAGAAGGCAGTTATTGAAATTGAAAAACGTTTGGATTCTGAATTTGCTGCACGTAGATTGGCTATGAAAGAAGGTAGAACATTCCAAAGTGGGGCTGAATTGACGGCTGTTTTGGAGAAAGTTCCTGAAATGATTCGAATTCATCAAGGAGTTACAACAGAATCGAATATTAAAATTTATGACGACTTTTCTGCGTATGAATTTTTTAAATTACTAAAACATTTCTAATCCTTTACTTTTTTAGAAAGATTTGTGGTTTCAAGCCTCTCGTTCCTGAAGAGCGTTTTATCGAGTTCACACGTCGTGGTCAAATGACAACTCCAGCAGCTGGTAGTGGTCCAAGTCGAACACCAACAAATGCTTTCTCTACTCCATTTGTTCCAGCTACAAGTATTTCATCATTACCCGATGGTCGTCCTCCTACTGCAATTACTTTGCCAAATATGCTTCCTTCGCATCCATCGCAATTGCAACATCCAACAGCAATTATGGGTGGTGATAGAATGCAAATGAATTCAAATTCTCTATTTCCTGATGAAAATACTTTTAACTCTGCAAATCTTGGATTAAGAAAAATGAATGAAGATCAAATATTGCAAAGCAAAGTAGAGACTATTTTGAGGGAATGGATTACTATTTGCTATACTCCAATGGCACAACGTGATCCTCAACATGCTTTGGCATGTATTGTTCAAATGGTTTGTTTTAATTTTTATACTTATATTTTTTGGTAAATTGAATTGAACACTGGGAATAGAGTTAGGCACAAAAGAATATTATTAAGTTTAATAAATTTTTGGACATTTTCTTCTGATAAATCTTTTGTTGGGGGATTCTTGAATAATTTTTTAAATTTTATAGATGCATGACAATGGAGTATTAGCAACTGATGAAATGATTACAAAATTCTTCAAGATTTGTGCTGATATTTGCTTTGACGTTTCCTATCGTCTTCTCAAAAATGATTGTATTGGACAATCAACAGTTGTTCGTCAACGTTGTTATTATACTTTGGATGCCTTTACTAAATTAACTTGGTTTTTCTTTTAAAATTTTAAAATAATTTTAATAAAAGCAAACTTTAGTTTAATGGTTAAGTACAGTGATGGACAACATCATTCAACAAAAGTTAATTTACTCAAAAAGGTTTTGAATATTCTGAGCAGCGCTGTCCACAAAGACCATGAACAACGAAAATTCGATTTTAATGGGATGCCGTTCCATCGAATTTTAATTATCATGTTTAATGAATTGACAGCTCCAGATCCTGTTTTGGATCCAATCCAGTGGCACATTCTTGAGGCTTTCGGGTATTTTGACTTTTAAATAATTAGTTAACTGTCCAATAAATTACAAAATAATTTTTCTGACTTTTTTGGCATTAACAGGGGTGATTGTTTTTCCATGAGATTTTTTCTTGAAAACTATTGTGGAAATAATCTCACATATTTTTAGACAAACACTTTTCTTACTCCAACCTCGTCGTGTGCCTGGATTTGCTTTTCATTGGCTTGATATTATTGGACATCGAAACTTCATTGGACGATTGCTTGCTGATTCTTTTGATTTGGGTCGAACTGGTGCTATGTATACTCAATTAATTCTCTGCCATCTTAAATTCTTGGCACTTTTTCTTCGCAACGTTCAACTTCCAAAACCTATTTCTTTTATTTACAAAGGAACTTTGAGGGTTTTGTTGGTTATTCTGCATGACTTTCCAGGTATTTTTTTGTTTTTAATCTTGAGTCCTAATATTCAAAAGATACGGGAAGATTCTTTTGCCTTTTCCATTTCTTAGTTTCTATTTCCACACAGTGAAGATAAATTTATTATTTTTAATTTCAGAAATTCTTTGTGAGTATCACTATGTTCTCTGCGATGCAATTCCACCAAATTGTGTGCAGCTGCGCAATTTGATTTTAAGTGCATATCCAAGAGATATGAGACTTCCAGATCCTTTTGCAGAGAATTTTTCGAAGGTTTTTTTTTTAAATATTTTTAAAAAATTTCCTTTTTTTAGATTGAAAACTTTCCAGAAATGAGTACAAATCCAAAAACACACAAAGAAATTAACAATATAATTTCTCAAGATTTGCGTAAACGTTTGGATGATTATTTAGAGACTCGTTCTTCAATTAGCTTTTTGTCTGACTTACCAACATTTCTTGAAACATCATTACAACAACAACCATCGTCATCATCACCTAGTCAAAAATATAATATTAGTGTTGTTAACGCTGTTGTTATGTATGTTGGTGTTAAAGCTATTGATTCTATTAATGAAAAGAAACAACAAAAAATTTCTATGGAAAGTATTGCACATACTGCTTTTATGGATATTTTTCAGAATTTGGCTGTTTCTCTTTGCACTGAAGGTTTTTTTTGAAAGTTGTTTTTAAAATATATTTGAACTGAAAAAACGGGCTGGTACTGATTCCTAGGGAATCCAAAAATTTTTCTTTTCTTGAAACACCAAAAATTAACTTAAAATTTAGGTAAATATTTGCTCTTCAATGCCATTGCCAACCAATTGCGATATCCAAACTCGCATACTCATTACTTTAGTTGTACAATGCTTTACCTCTTTTTGGAGGCAAATTCTGAACAAATTCAAGAACAAATTACTCGGTAAGAAATTTATATATTCTGTTTATTTGGGAGAATGATCCAGTCCGAGAATGTCCTTTAAATTTAAAAACATTTTTTTGTTTTAACTTGTTTAACTTCTTTACCATTTTTGAGGTTTTCCAAAGTTTTTTGCTCCTTTCACTTCTCGTTTCTGTTATTTTTATTTTTTAAATTTCAGAATTTTATTTGAACGTCTCGTAGCACTTCGACCACATCCTTGGGGTCTTCTCATAACTTTTATTGAGCTCATAAGAAACCCGCGTTACAATTTTTGGAAACATGATTTTGTCCGTTGTGCACCAGAAATCGAACGGTTTATGTGGGTGAATGGAAAATATAACCTAATTTTTTTATTTTTTAGTTTGTTTATGAGTGTTGCTAATTCTTGTAGTGTTTGTTCTATTCCAACAGAACAACAATCTAATGGAACTTGAATATAATGATGTGAGGTTATTAGAAAAATATTTTTGGGAGAAAATTTAAAAAAAGAGAAAAGAAAATTATTTGTAAGGGTTAGTTAATTTTAATAATGAAATTTTAAATATTATTTTTTGTTTAATTTTATAAGGACAATTCATTTAAAAGAGATAATTTAACCGAAAAAATTAGAAACAAACTGTCGGTTGTGGGATGATTTTTTTTGAAATTTCGAGCTTCAAAAAATTTTCTTTAAATTTTTTGGTGATTCTCTCCTTTAAGTGAATTGTCTTTATAAAAGGTTTAATATATCTATATTCGTTTCACATTTGCCATTTTTATGTTTTTATTAATTTTGTTTTGATTATCGACACACAACCAACTACATATTTAACTTGTTTTCTTTTCCACACTCCCGGGTAATTATTAATTACTATTATATTATTTGGATTTTTTAAAAACACTCATTTTTGTTGTTCTCTCTCTATATATGTATCCTCTCTTAATTTTTTTTTGATTTTAAATAAATGTGTTTAATTTTTAAAAAGATATTGAGTGTATTCATTTTAATTGAAAGCTTAGTTCTTTCTCTTATTAATACATGTTAGTGTTGGTGAACCCAAAAAACATTAATTTAAGCGTTTGTATCTTCTTTTAGATTGAAGCCTTGACAGCATTTTGGAGAAAAGGAAAATTCGAGCATTCCCACATCCCCCTCCCTATACAGCAAGCCCAGCCTACGCCGCTAATAAAAGTTTCCAAAACGGCTTGTTTTCAACACAGCTAGAATATGGTTGTTTTTAGCTTATGAGGATTAGGATTCGGTAAATGATTATTTCGGTTTTCTGTATTACCGAAATTAAAAAATCGAGTTTTAAATCCCAACTTAGCGGATTTAAAGTTGGACCCGAATTTTGTGGATCCACCTTGAGTTTCATCGACTTTTGAAAGTTCAAAACGCCTGCGGCACTAAAATTGCACAATAATTGCGCTTGTTTTCAAATTTTTTAGTTTATTTTTAATCAAAACAATTTTCTTGATAAACAATAAAAGGGAATTTAACGACTGGTAATTTTAATAAAGTTTTGCTTCCATCAAATTCTTCAATCATTTTAGCAATTATTTCTCTGATCCAAAGTAAAGAATTAATTTGTAAAGATTGTGAAGTTAAACGTTCTTTTTTAAGAGGTTTTCCGTTTTCTGTCTTCTTTCTTTGTAAAATTTGAAATACAAGAAACCCTCTTTCATTTCGAAATAAATTTAATGAAATATCATAAATATTTGCATTTATTTCTTCAAAAGCTAATTTTTTGTTTACATCTGTTAAATTAAAAATAATAATATAGGTATTAATCAGGGTTCGGATCGAGAAAATGTCAAGTGTAAGTACAAAAAGTTCAAATTGGAAGTACACAGGGGGAAAAATTTTCAAAATGTAAGTACGCTAAAAAATTTTTCAAAAACCTTTTTTAGTGCCGAAACTGCTAAAAAGTCTTCCATTTTTTGCGCCGCAGGCGAAAATTTTGAGAATTTCGGGGGTCCTTAAGCCAGATTTCTTCCATTTTTTGCGCCGCAGGCGAAAATTTTGAGAATTTCGGGGGTCCATAAGCCAGATTTCTTCCATTTTTTGCGCCGCAGGCGAAAATTTTGGAATTTTTAATGTTAAATTTAATTTTTTAACCAAAAAGTCTATTTGTAAGTACGTACTTACAAATAAGTACATTTTTAATTTTGGAAGTACGAAGGTCGATTTGTAAGTACTGTACTTCCAAAATAAGTACGAATCCGAATCCTGGTATTAATAGTGTTAGGGGTTTTCTTGATTCAACTTTTCCAGAACAGAATTGCTAATTTAAAACAGATCCAAAAATTTTCGGTTTTGTTAATCGAAGGACTCGATTCAGGCTGAGAAAATTTTCGATTGTGGCACTAAAATCGAAATCCTCCGTTGCCTGGATTCCAAGGGTGTATCCAGGCGGGCTTTCGCCTGCGAGAGTTCCATTATACGACGATTTTTCAATTTCAGTTAATCGAAGATGGTGAAATCGACAATCCTACTCTTAAACTTTCCCCAAAATATATTTTCGAATATTTTGGAACAATTTGGGGCTTAATTAATTGTGGATAACTTACTTGAGAGATCAAAAACCCGTTCCCCATCACAAGCAATAATAATTTTATCCAAAGCCTTAACAAAATTAAAAGCATCTGGCAATAACAATTTAGGTAAATATAAATCTCTCCATTGACTATCATTTTGTAATCTATAAACATTCTTTATTTGAATAGTTCTGTTGCCCGACACTCCTTCTCTCAATTCAATTTTTATTTTATTATTTTCCCCAAGTTTCAATTCATCTGAAGCCAAAGTTGTCCCTCCTAAAAATTTAAAAAAATTAATATATTTGTGGATATTATTTAAAGATTTTGGAGGTGAAAATTATGAGAAGTGAAGGGGGTTGTAGGTGGAAAAAAATTCATTTTGTTGATATTTTCCCTCACAAAATTTTTCATTTTCCCCCAGCTCAAGAAGGGAAGCGGCTCCAGCTCAGAACTGATATTTTTTACTGATACATTTTCATCTGTCCCGTTTTTAATAATAAAAAATAAAAAACCTTTTGGATTTACAACATCTATTTGTTCTATAAATTCATTAGATTCAAAGTTCTATAAAATAAAAAAAAGTAGAAAATATAAAATATTTAAAACCTTTAAATCAACCCTTAATTCTTTTAATTTTTCACTTCCATCAAATTCTTCAAGTATTTTAACAAATATTTTTCGAATCCAAAGTAAGGAATTAATTGGGATAAAAATTGAATTTATTTTATTTTCTGACTTTAATTTTTTAATTAATTTAAATCCAAGTTGGCCTTTCTCATTTCGAAATAAAATAAGAGAAATATCATAAAAATCGGTAATTATTTCTTCAAATGCTAATTTTTTGTTTAAATCTAAAATTATTAAAATAATTTTAAATAAAAATATTTAGAGAAATTCCCGAGTTTTTTTTTACAAAAATCAAGATTTCGACCGTTTTGGGTAATACCGAGGCTGCTCCCCTCCCCTTTTTTCTGTTCTAGTTTTTTCATTTTCTATGACAAATTAAATCCATTAGAAAGAGCTCTTCGAGCCAAGTCGAAAGGCTCGAAAAAAAGAAAGTCATATCGTAAATTATATGTCAAGCAAAAAGCCCAAAATGGTCAGGGAAACAGAAAAAAGGGGACGCCAGCCGAAGAATTACCAATTGCTCATTAGAATTTTGACAGAGGAGAAGACGTTATATTATTATTATAAAAAAGGGGGGGGCAGCCTTGGTATTACCCAGTTTCAGAAAAAAACTTTTTATATTTTTTATTCCCCAAAAAACCTTACTAAATTCATCAAAAATCTTTTCCCCATTACAAGCAATAATAATTCTATCCAAAGCTCTAACAAATTTGTAAGCATCAGTTGGCATTAATAAATTAGGTAAACGTAAATATTTCCATTCAGAATTTTCTGTTTTAAACATTCTTGCAAAACTAATTGTTCTTTTGCCAGATTTCCCTTGTATTAATGAAATTTGAATTATATTATTTTCTCCAAGCTGTAATTCTTCTTGAATTAAACAAGCTTCTATTGACCCTAAAAATTAAAAAAGTTATTCTATAAATTTGCGGACAAAGATTTGCGGACAAATCTTTAATTGAAAATTCCAATCTACAAACTTTAATGGCATTTTGGAATTAAAAAATATTTTTTTATTTTGTTTTAATAAAGGGTAGAGGATAGATACATGTAGGGTTACCAAAATGGCCCGACTCGGACCGAAAGATCTAGTCGGGCCTATATGTTTGGCACGAAGACTCGTACGGCCCGACTCGATAAAAACAAGCCCGAAAAAAATGCCTCTACCATCGGCCCAACTCGAAAACGGCAATCTTAGTTACACGGTCTTTACAATTAACAAAAAATTTATTTATAAAAACTTTAAAAATACCTTTATATTTTATACCAACATTTGCTTGATTTATAACTTCATTACTAGATTCAATTATCTATAATTTAACAAAAAATAAAAATTAAATAAAGAAAAAACCTCAAAAGAAGACGAATTTCTATTATAACTAGATAATTTAACAAAACAAAAAGTTAAAGCTCTAAAATTAGATTGTCGATAAAAATAAGAACTAAATAATCTATTTAATTTTAACATTTTTTATTCTAGAAATTAAATATAATTAAAAAGGAATGAAAAATGAGACCGAAAAACTCTAAAAGGGGATTGGAATAGGGAATACTCATTTCTTCGAAAATAGCAGATTCGAACCGAAATCTCTGGATCCCCAGCCATTAGAACAAAAGAAAAATAATTAAAATTTTAATCAACTTTTTTAAATAAACATCAAATGTATTAATGAAGACATTCAATATTTTTCTAAAATTAAACACATTTATCTTTATATAAAATCAAAAAAATTCAAGAAAATAAAAATTCTTAAATAAGAGATTTTTTGATTTTTAGGTGTAGGCTACTTATCAATTTTCAAATGGTTTGTGCAAATTATGTAATGTTTTTTATATGTAGTGTTTTTATACCAACAAAACATTGGAGAATCTTTTGCAGGGTTTTTTTAGAAAATATAATCCATAATTTGGACACAATTAGATAGCCGACTAATCTACACCTAAAAACAATAAAATCTGGTATCAACATGACGATATTCCTCTCATTAGGGGGTTAAAATTGTTTCACGCAGCCAACCTATCGTTTATCGAAAGAAAATGCGCTCAGGGTATTCTTAAAATTCTCCGTTGTGGAAAACCTCTTCAGAAAAATTTAAAAGAAGCATCATACAAGAAAGCATTGGAGAATCTCTCGAAGGTTAACAATTATTAACAATTTTTATTTTTTTTAACTTGGTCAGTTATTTAAATGGCAATAAGGAAGGAAAAATGTTTTTAATTAGGAAAGAAATGGGGCAGGACAAAGGAGATGAAAAGGAGAGAGGGTAATCAACTTCAAAACTACCAAGTTAAAAAAAAATAAAAATTGTTAATAATTGTTAACCTTCGAGAGATTCTCCAATGCTTTCTTGTATGATGCTTCTTTTAAATTTTTCTGAAGAGGTTTTCCACAACGGAGAATTTTAAGAATACCCTGAGCGCATTTTCTTTCGATAAACGATAGGTTGGCTGCGTGAAACAATTTTAACCCCCTAATGAGAGGAATATCGTCATGTTGATACCAGATTTTATTGTTTTTAGGTGTAGATTAGTCGGCTATCTAATTGTGTCCAAATTATGGATTATATTTTCTAAAAAAACCCTGCAAAAGATTCTCCAATGTTTTGTTGGTATAAAAACACTACATATAAAAACATTACATAATTTGCACAAACCATTTGAAAATTGATAAGTAGCCTACACCTGAAAATAGAAAACTCTTAAAATTTTAAAATTAAATAAAGGTTTTACAAAATTAATTCATAAATATACTCTTATGTTAGTCTTTAAAAATATCTTCTATAATTTAAAATAATTTAAATCTTCGCGCATTCAAAGAAATAAGCCGCAAACATTTTCATTCCATTTATGTAATTGTAGACATCCAATTTTTCATTCTAAAAAATTTTTATTAAAAAAATTTAATTTAAAAAAACCTGTGAATGTGCCATATCATCAGAACGTCCCATAGGCAAAAGCATAACATTCTTTCCAGTAATATTCTTTAAAAAAATGTTTTTTTTTAAATTTTCTTTTAAATTAAAAAAAACTTGGAATGTCAAAGTAACAGGAATACTTCCACCTTCTCTAGTAAAATCAGGCTCAACTCCATAAACTTTAAACAAAAAAATCAAAAATAAAAATCACTTTTCGAGAAACCTTTTTTAACAGCATTAGCCCCAGCCTTATAATGTGCATGTCTAAAATCACCCAACCAAGCCAAAGCACCGCCGCTAGGAATTACTCTAAACAAAAAATATTTTTTGTAAAACTTTTTTAAATTTACCTAATTTTGTTGGCAGTATTTCTTTCAGCAAAGATTTTAGTCAAATGAGCAATAACAACTTTATCAACTTCAGCTGGAAACATATCTGGCACGAGTCTATAAAAATTAGAATCTTCTATGAATTATATTTTCACTAACCGAATGCTGAATTTGCCAATAACTTTAGCGGGTATAACAGTTTTTGTTCCTTTCCCATAGAAAGCCCCCTCAATACCTAAAAAATTATTTTTAAATAAAAAATTGTCTCAAAACCTACCGTGAACAGAAAGTGAAGGTTGACGCCATCTACGCATTAAAATTTCTTTTGGATTTGTTGAAGTTAACTTCCCAACTCCAATATCCTTTTGAAATGCCTCCTAAGAGTGGATGTTTTTAAATTAATAAAATAAATCTCCGACCATGTCAAATGATGTAATCTTGTCATAAAGCTAAAGAAAAGAGAAAAATTTTTTAAAAACACTTATTTGTTTATTTGAGTACAATTAATTGGGAATATTGCTTTCCTCAACATAATCCCCTCTTTTAGGTCTCACTTCCTGTCAAGGAACAATGAAAATAGGCGTGGCCTATGTAGGCGCGACCTATTGACAAGGTAGAATCTCCCCTCGTACAATTAATTGCCCACCAATTAATTGTACGATTAATTGGGTTTAATTGTCTACCTCAGATTCTTCTTTTGTCAATTCTGCCACCATCTTATCCAACCCACTACAAAATACTTTTTTAATTTTTAGAAATATACACTAAATACTTTATAAGAATATTGCCATTATTATCAGTTAATTGACTCAAAATCCAGCAAAGGTCAATCATTGGTTCGTGTCTTAAAAATTAATTTAAATTTGTACTCTAGTATTAACTTGAGTATTTCTCGGTTTTGGTATTTTTTGGTTATTTCCGGACAAATTCTATAGAAATTTACTAAATTCTCAAACTGAACAACACTACGAGACTGCAAAAAATCTTAAGGCGATAACCGAGAAGTACTCAAATTTATAATTAAAAAACAAACATTGCTCCTCCATAAGTCCCAGAATGTAAATCTTGTTTTGGTGAAGTAACCTCTACTTGATAAGAACAGATTCCTCTTTAATTAAATTAAAAATAAGAAAAAATTATTTTAAAAAATTATTAAAAGTTTAGTAACGGAGTAAGATCTCCTGATGTAGATTTTTAATAACCCTTATATATTCTAAATGAGTTCCCTATCTCTAGTATAGACCGTTGATTTGCTTATTAGTAAACTAACAAAAATTCTATATTATCTAAAATTCTATTTTATCAAATTAAATTAATTTTTTAAAAATTAAAAATCAGATAAATACCTAAGTCCATAAGTAATACACGGTTTTTCCTTTCCAAGCCAATAATTATCAGAAATACAAGTAAAGTCAACATCTTCCAAAAATTCTTTTTTATATTTATTCAGAATTGTGTCTAATCCCAACGACCCACTTTCCTCCATTCCCTCAAAACAAAACTGAAAAAATAAATTCTCTTCAATTCAAAAAAATTAAAAAAAAACTTTTAAATTAATCGGAATTTCAATTCCCAATTTTTGTAAACTTTCAATAACATTAAGCCATCCAAGTACTGGACCCTTATCGTCAGTAGAACCTCGTCCAAATAATTTCCCATCAATTTCGGTTAATTTAAATGGCTCGGTATTCCTAAAAAAGAAAAATATTTTTTAAAAAAATTTTGTTTTATTTGATTTTTGTTTCTTTCCTTCTTTTTTTCCTTTAAATAAAGTATCAAAACTTAATTTATTAAAAGTAGTATTTATGACCGATTTATGTATTTTTGTATGAATATGGAGAGAATAATAAAAGCATTTGAGCACCACAGGTAAAAATTAACAAATCATAAACAACCCTACTTATTGTTAAAAGTATTTATTTCCGCCTATTTTGCTTTGTCAAAATAGTTAAAATAAAATCTGACAATTATAGCTTTAATTGGGAAGTTTAGATTTTGAAAATAAGGTAGCACCCCGTCCCCCGACGAATTTTTAGGCAAAACCCCGAAGCCTCAACCACAACAAACCCCGACGATCCCGCCTCCAAAGGCTCGGGGTGCTACCCTATTTAAAAACAAAGAAGTTCTGGTTCAAATCCCTTTACATAAAATTTAAAAATTTTATTTTTAATTTACCATCCATCATCAAAATTGGCTGGTTGAACATCCAAATGCCCATAAATAAGCAAAGTCTTCTTATTTTTGTCCTTCCCCAATGTCCCAAAAAGAACTGGAGGAAGGGGAATTGTTGTTCCGTCAGGCAATGTTTGGGTACTGTTTTCGATTTGTTTACAAGAAATTCCAAGTTTTGTCATCATCTTTTAAAAAATTTGTTTAAATTTAAAAGAAATTAAAAAAACTTTTTCAGTCCATTCAATCATCCTAAAAAAGAAAAAAAATATTTTAAAAATTATTTTTGTAAAATTCTCTTCTTACTTAAAAACATCCTGTCGGTGTTCAGCAGTTGCAGAAACACTTGGAATTGCAACAGCCTCACGTAAACGTTCAATCCATAAATTCTTGTTTGATTCGATATATCTATATTAAATAAATTTTTTGAATTTTTTTTGAACTAGAGAGTAGAGATTGGTAAAATCACATTTGCAGGATCCTTATCAGGATTGGGTTTTACAATTTCGCACAGGACAGGATCCTACAGGATCAATCCTGAAAATCCTGCCAATCCTGTTATTTTTTTCAGGATCCTGTTCAGGATTTCGGGATTTCCATTTCTCTCAATATTTAAATTTAAAAAATATTTTTTATGAAAATAAACATTTACTTGAATATATTATCACAAATTTTATCCTCAGCAGACATTTTTATTTTTAATTTTTTTTAGTAAAATAAATAAATTGTGTTAGTTAATTCTAAATAATATAATAAATGATAAAAATTAGGTACCTAAAATGTTTTGCAAAAACGAGTAAATATATTTAAATGATAAAAATATTTGGTAAATTATTTACTTTTAAATATTTTGTGGAAGGGAATAAATAAAAAGATAAGAAAAATTAATTAAAAAAAGATAATTTTACAAAAATATTTTTAAATAAAATTTTTGAGCCATTTTCTCTGATAAATAAAGTAATGTGTATAATTGAAATAAAATATAAATAAATTGTTTTTGATTATGGAATGGGGTTAATTGGTTAATGAATCAAAGAATAAAAATAAATAGAGCAATGAAGTAGAAAAAAATATTTTTTTAATTTTTGAATTGGAAAAACCTGGTAAAGGAGGGTAGGGGACGATTCAGTATCGCCGATTCAGTATCGCCAATTCAGTATCGCCGATTCAGTATTGGCCGATTCAGTATTCGGGCTTTTTGGCCATAACTTTTTGCTCGATCAATATTGTAGGTATTGTTATATATGATTTGATAGGCCTCGGGGTGCTGCATCTTTTTCATAATTGGACTTACATGATCTGACTCTACAAGAAGTTATCACTGATAAACGACGTCACAGGCATAAAAAATCGGTTTTCACGCTGTAACTTTTTTTGAGATCATCAGATCAGATCGGGCCAATTATGAAAAAGATGTCGAATCTCGAGACCTTTCGAATGATATGAGAATTATTCAAATCGGTCGAATATCAGGAAAGTTATGGCCATATACTGAATCGGCGATACTGAATCGGCGATACTGAATCGTCCTTAACCGGGTAAAGGACGATTAAGTATCCGGGTAAAAGGGGACGATTCAGTATTCGTAGGATAAAATACCCTTAAGTAATTTTCACGCGTGCATCAGCCGGCTGAAAATACTGTGTGTCTATAAAATCGAAAAGTAAACAAAGCAGACTATTTTATCTTTAAATTTGTTCGAAAATTAAAAAGTAAATTGATAATACATTTTATGTTAAAAATTAGTCTAAAACAAATAAACTTTTTGCTGAAATACCGATTAAAGGAAGAAACTAGTTAAAGGAGGCGATCAAACAAGTAATATTCCATTACTTACCCTTTTGTACTTACCCTTTTGAATATTCAAAGGTTATATATCAGGGCTCTCATCGACAAAATGCCACTCAAAAGTATCAAAATCTTGATAAAAAAGTATATAGGGAGAAAATTTCCAAATTTAAAGTATACTCAAAATTAAATTGGAAAATATTTGTTCGTGCTCAAATCTTTTATATTTCTCTCTTAAATGAATCTTTTCTAATAATTTCTTGCTTCCATTGGGCATTTTGTGCATTTCAACGCATGACATGTCAAAATTCGCTGATACAAGAAATAAAGCCCTGACAGTCTTAACCTCAAGCTTTCGTCCATTTTCAGCGCCGCAGGCGAAAATTTTTTGAAATTTGGAGCCCAAGTAGTCAGATTTCTCCCATTTTCAGCGCCGCAGGCGAAAATTTTTTGAAATTTGGAGCCCAAGAAGCCAGATTTCTTTCTTTTTCAGCGCCGCAGGCGAAAATTTTGATAATTTCGAAGGCCCAAGGCTAAAAAAATTCACTTTTTTGCCCAATCCCTTCCCCAATTTCATTTTCAATCCAAAATGTTGATTTTAAAGTATATACTTTCAATAAAGTATAAATTCAATTTCTTAAGTATGGAGGTCGGTTTCAAAGTATAATACTTTCAAATAAAGCACGAATGAGAGCCCTGTTATATATATTATGAATATTCTCGACGATTTCATTCAAAATATCTAAATGATGACTGGAGAATTTTTTGTCTTGGATTTAATATTTCAATTTTATTAATTTTTCATCTTTTTTTCGTTAATTTTTTTTCACTTTTTTTTAGAAAATCTTTCAATATTTTTAAAATGGAAGTTGATACACCAGTAGATCTTGATGCTACTATTCCAAGTGAAATAGAGACACTTATTGGTGAAGATGATTATTTGACATTAAAGAAATTGGAGAATAAATTGGCACATTTGGATGTTATGGAATTTGTAAGGGTTTCTTTAATATTATAGAAAATATTTAGAGATTGTTTTTTGTTGTTTTCTGTTTAATTATTCTGTAAAAATTTTATTTTTTTAGTATCTCAAAAAGGATATGCGTAATTTGGAGAAGGAATTGGTTCATGCACAGGAAGAGGTTTTTTGAAATTTTTAAATTATTTTTGCTTTAATTTAAAGGTTAAACGTATTCAATCTGTTCCTTTAATTATTGGCCAATTTCTCGAAGCTGTTGATTATGATCATGCAATTGTTAGCTCAACTACAGGTTTTTTCGTTAAAGATTTTTATTGAAATTTTTTGTTACTTATAATTAACATGGCTTGAGTAAAGCCCCTTAAAGAATAAATTCTCATTTTCCAATTCCTTCACATTTATTTTTATTTACTAGAAAAATGAAATTTGTCTTTAACCTTGCCAAGTATAGACTTGGTACCTGTATTTTTTTACATTTTTTGACTCCTATTTTCTGAATTACAAATTCCCCACCTCAAAGAATTTAGAAACAAAACTTATTTTTCTATATTCTCAAAAATAATTATTTTAATTTAATTATTAGGTTCAAGTTATTTTGTTCGTGTTCTTTCAATTCTCGATCGTGAATTGTTAAAGCCTGGGTGTAGCGTTGCTTTACATAAATATAGCAATGCTTTGGTTGATGTTCTTCCACCAGAATCTGATTCTTCTATTCAAATGCTTCGTCCAGATGAAAAGCCTGACGTTTCTTATTCGGATATTGGTGGACTGGATACTCAAAAGCAAGAAGTGCGAGAAGCTGTGGAACTTCCTCTCACCAATCGTGAACTTTATGAACAGGTTTGGGAGAATTTTAAAAATGTTATTTTTTGTATCTGGTTTTTCATGTATTCACTATTTTTTAAAAATCGCATAAGAGTGATTTTTGTAGCGCCAAATATACTTTTATAAAAAATAAAAAAAATATTATAATTAATTTAAAAATTTTCCAAATTCAGATTGGAATCGACCCTCCTCGTGGCGTTCTCCTTTTTGGGCCTCCAGGATGTGGAAAAACAATGCTTGCTAAAGCTGTAGCTCATCATACAAAAGCTTCGTTTATAAAAGTCGTTGGAAGTGAATTTGTTCAAAAATATTTGGGAGAAGGCCCTCGAATGGTTCGGGATGTTTTTCGTTTGGCAAAAGAAAATAGTCCTTGCATTATTTTTATCGATGAAATTGATGCAATTGCCACAAGACGTTTTGATGCACAGACTGGGGCTGATAGAGAAGTACAACGGATTTTGTTGGAATTATTAAATCAAATGGATGGATTTGATCAAAATACAAATGTTAAGGTAGAAAAAATAAACAAAATTTATTTCTTAAATTTCATCCCCTTTTTCGGCAAATTTTAATTTAGTGGAAATTCTTGTCTGAATTTTTTCCTATTTTTTAAAACATTTTCTCTTGTTTTCAATAAAAAGTTTAAAAATATTGTTATTTAGAAATGAAAACATTTTAAAAGGTTATAATGGCAACAAATCGACAAGACACCCTCGATCCAGCATTACTTCGTCCGGGCAGATTGGATAGAAAAATTGAGTTTCCAATGCCTGATCGTCGACAGAAACGTCTAGTTTTTTCGACTGTGACAGCCAAAATGAATTTAAGTGATGAAATTGATCTTGAAGATTTTGTTTCCCGTCCAGATAAAATTTCGTGTGCTGAAATTGCTTCTATTTGTCAAGAGGTTTTTTAATTTATAAATTATCTCCTGAAATTTCTAGGGTGGAGGGGAAAAATTGTCGAAACGGGGGATTTGGTTAATTTTGGAAATTAATTCTCCCTCGGTGAATTAAATTCTTTGTTTTGTCGGCATTTCTTAAATAAAAGTAAAAATAAAAAGCCCCGTATTGTTTTTCCATGTTTTGGCTCCAAAATTATTCTCCGAAAAAGAGCTTAATTTTAAATAATATTTTTCAAAACTTTAAAGGCAGGAATGTATGCTGTTAGAGAGAATCGCTACATGGTCCTTAGCAAAGATTTTAACAAGGCATATAAACAAGTGGTCAAGAAGGACAGTGATACTTTTGACTTTTACAAATAAAAAATATTTTGTGCGGATTTTAAAGAAAATTGTGTCAATCTTTTATTTAAATAAATGGAGGTAATTATTTATTAGAATTGAAAAAAGGAATTGAAAATTCTGTTTTTAAGCATAAAAAAGTGTTGTTGGAGACCAGTTAATTTTTCCCTGTGGCAGATAGAAAAGAATAAGAACTTTTGAGCCGCCACAAGGAAGAATTAACCGATCGCCAACAACCTTAAGTAAAAAATTAATAAGACCGTAAATTTGTCAGGTAAGTCCTCTGTTCGTGTAAAATTCTATTTCCTAACCAACAAGAATTAAAAATACATTTTCTGCATTGAAAAACATCAAATTTTTCGGTGGTCGATTTTCGTTCAATTTGCATAACCAAACGGTCAAAACACCTTTTATCTTTTACAGTAACAGACCCAGCAATATTTTCGCCTGCATGTAGGCCAAAATGACTAAAAAAAATTTTTTGTAAAATTTTTTGGTAAAAATTATACCCAACACAACTTCTTTCGGGTATTTGAGTGTAAAAATCCCAATAGCCAAGTCCTGTCGCTCTTCTCCTTTTTGAAGAAAATTTTAACAAAATATTAATTTTTTACCTGTAGAGATTAAACCAAGCATGGTCTTGTCTTATTGTTAACTATTAATTTAAAATTAATTGGTTATTTTATTGAAATTATTTTTAAAATAATTGGGAATTTTATACTTTAATAGAAAACTTTCTAAATTTTTATTAAATTTACCGTTCCTATTCTATACCAGCCTCTAAAAATTAAAAAAATATTTCAACTTTTTATTTTAAATTTACCTAGGCAATTTTGTATCAATTCCATTTTCTTCCGTAAATGTTGGAGTGGGAATGTGGGTTTCACAAGTTACAGAACTAATTTTAATTTTTTTTGAATTTATTTAAAAAGATACCCGCAAGTAACTTCATTTGATTCTCTTAATTAAAAGATATTTAAATTAAAAAAAAATAGGGAGAGAATTCTTTGAATCTTTAAATTAATTTACCTGTAATATGTGCAGTAAACATTCCTTAATTTTATTTTATTTAAAAATTAATTTTAAAAAAACAAACTCTGCTTTGATTAAATCAAAACTTTTTAAAATTAAAAGACAAATAAAAATAGTAATAATCAAAGTCATTAAAAGAAAAAAGAAATTGATTTATTTTATTTGGAAGTATACTACATCTTCCTTTAAATATTTTTGAAGGTTTCCTATTTCTTCCATTATAATTCAAATTGGAAAGAGAAATAACCTTGAAATGTATGAAATTAAAGGCAGAAAACAAAAATTAAATTCATTTAATTTTTTAACAAAATGGGGGGTTTAATAAAAAAATTAAATAATTTTTATAAGAAAAATAAACAGCCGTGATTGAAATTAAGATTAAATTACCTAATTACTCTCGGACCTCAATTGCTTGGGAAAATTTTAATTTCTAAATTTAATTGGAAAAAACTGATATAAATGTGAGGCTAAACATCTAACAATTTATTGTATACGGAGGAGTAAAACGACACCCGATAGAAAAGGGGGAGAAGAATATACTTGGTTGTTGTACTGTGTCGACTGGTACTATAGCACAAGAACAACGAAAACAATCATTTTAAATAAATTTTCAAACAAAATATTTAAAAAATAACAATTAAAAAATAAACAAATTTTTAATTTCTCTAAATAATTTATTAAATTCTTCATCTTCACATAATTCACAATTTTCTCCAAATTCTTTTTCAAAAAATCCAATAATTGGTTTTATTCTTAATTTTAATTGAGAATTTATCTGAATTTCTTCTAATTTTTATTTATTTATTTATTTACACCACTAGGGTGTGACAGTCAAAAATAAAACAATTTAAAGTGAAATTACGAAAAATAAAAATGCAAATAAAAAAAATGTCCTTAAAATAAAAATCAAAGCAGCTTAGTAAATAAAATTATATCATTTGTCATTTAAGATATTGGAAATATCCAACTGTGCAAGAAGTTTAGAAAACATTTTGGGTGTATTTTTTCTAATTTCTATAGGAATTAGTGAATAAATTCTAGCAGTTCGAACAAAAAAGGAGTTGTACCGAATCATGGTTGAACAACGTGTTGGTTGTATTTTATATTTTTCGCCCCTAGTTTTTGTTTGTTTTATGATATAAGAATTATTATGGTTAATTTTAATTTTCCCAAATATATTTTGATGAAATAGCTTTAAATCAGCTTTAAGTCTTCGACTTTCAAGGGATTCTACTTTAAAATGTTGTAAAAGTGTTTTGTATGGTGGAATCTCTTCTATTTTTACCTTTGTGATTCTTTTGTAAACAAATCTTAAATATCGTTTTTGTATGTTTTCTATTAATTTAATGTTTTTCTTAGTTAAAGAATTCCAAACCGGTGACCCAAATTCTATAATTGACCTTACGTATATATTAAATGCTTCTATAAGAATTTTAGGATCTTGTGATTTTAGAGATTTAATTAATGCATAGCAGTTTCTATTGGCCCTTAGAGATATTGTTTGAATATGTTTATTAAACTTGAATTTAGAAGTGAAGAAAATTCCGAGATCCCTATTCTTGTCTTCATTACTAATCTGGAATATTTTGTGGTTTCCTATTGAGTATTGTAATTTAGGGTTTGATTTACCTATATATAATACTGAGCATTTATTTAATGATATGTTGAGACCGTTGATGTTACAATATTGAATAAATTTATTAATAAATAATTGTAAAGAATTGTTAGATAAATCGGTTTTTGTTAGAATTTGGTAGGCTTTGATGTCATCGGCAAATAATTTTATTTTTATTTCAGGAGTGTAACAGAATGTTGGTAAGTCCGATAAGTATATATTAAAAAGGAGCGGACCTAAGATAGATCCTTGCGGAACTCCACTAGTAATAGAGAATTGTTCAGAATATTCATTTCCTATTTTAACAACAGATTTTCTGTTGTGTAAGTAATTAGAGATCCATTTTAAGAGTGATGTTTCAATTCCTATTACTTTTAGTTTTGTTAGAAGACGTTCATGGGGTATAGAATCAAAGGCTTTAGCTAGATCGAAATAAACTATGTTTATTAAATTTTTATTATCCAATGCAAATGATATATCATCTTGAACCTCAATTAGTTGGGTAGTGACGGATTTGTTTGGTCTGAATCCATGTTGACAATCTGGTAATATACCATTTTGTTCAACATAAATTGATATATGGTTTGCAATAATTTGTTCAATTATTTTTGTGATTGAACATAGTAATGAAATTGGGCGAAATTCTTCTATTTTGGGTATCTTTAATGTTTTTGGTATTGGTATTATTATACTTTGCTTCCATATTTCAGGAAGTGTTGAAGTCATTAATGAATAAGAAAAAATATAATATAAAGGATAATAAAGACTTTTAGCACATTTTTTAAGGAATATACATGGTATTGAGTCATAAGAAGAGTTAGTTTTTTCAGGTAGCTTAGAAAGAAGATCAAAGATTTGAAGTTCATTTATGATTACGGTTTGACATGTATTTTGATTTGTTATAGAGTTTAGATCTGCATTGTCTAATGAATTTTTATTAAATACAGAACTAAATTGGGTACTTAGAATTTGTGCTATTTTATTATCAGCGTATACTAATTGATTATTATTATCCAAAATTGAAGTTATTTTCCTGTTTTTGGATTTAAGAAATGAAGAGATGTATGAGAATTTTTGACTGATAGTTTGTGTTTTATGCTTTTCTCTATTTTTTAAAAATTTGTTAGTTTCAGAATCTATTCTTTTTGATACATATGAGATTTTACGTGTTAGCTCTGGCGTGGATTTTTGTTTCCACAGATTTTTTAGATATAATGTCATTTTTTCAATGTGTTCGGGTTTTTTGAGATTGTTAGATTTTACTTTAGATTCGGGAACAAAGGAACAAATAACATTATGTATAATCGATTGGAAAGTGAAATATAGTTGATTTATGTCAGAGCATTGTGTGAACACTAGATTCCAGTTTATAGTTGAGAAATATGCATTAATTATTTCATAGTTAGCTTTACGAAAGTTAGGAAATTTATATGGATTATCTTTGTGGTTGTTAGTGGAAGAGATTCCAAATTCTATTGTATTGTGGTCCGAGTTACTTATTGGTGGATTAATAGTTATTGTTTTTATTAGATCCTCTTTATTAGTTAATAGTAAGTCTAATATATTTACTCCTCTAGTGGGTTTATCAATTTTTTGTTTTAGTCCTAAACTTTGAATATATTCTAAAAATAATGTTTCTTTGGTATTTTTGGTTTGAGTACTATAATTCTCCCAATCGATATTGGGAAGGTTAAAGTCCCCTAATAAGATAAGTGGGTAGGATACAGCAGATATATCATACAAGATTTGCAAGATAGTTTTAAAATCCTTAATGGTTTCTTTAGTGATTGATCTATAAATTAAAATAATACGAATTTTTTCATCTGGAGTTAATAAATCTATACAAGATATCTCAGATAAAGTTTGGGGGATTTCTATTTTAATGAATGGTATTTTATTTGATATAAATAAGCAAGTTCCTCCACCCCTACCTTTAACCCTATCGGTTCTGATAATATTATATGGGGTACCATGTAGTAAAAGGTTATCATCAACTATATCAGTCAACCATGATTCAGTTACCCCTATTAGCTTATAACGGTTTTCTAATAACAAAAAGTGTAAATTTGACAATTTGTTTTTCAAACTTCTTGAATTAAAATATAAAAAATTAATAGTATTTAATTTATTTAATTTTTTTTTAAAAGTCAGATTTTTTTATTTTTTCTAAAAATGTGAACCTCCGATCTTAGAATTACCGCATCTCCATAAACAATCCAGTCCAATTGCGGGTTTTCCATCCTCTTCCTTTTGCACTCTTCGATCAGTTCCCTTCGTCGTTGTAATTGTTGTGGTGTCATTGATTCACGCATATTGATTTGGGGAAAAGATTTCTTGCCATTTGTTTTCCATTTGTTGAGAAGATCATGCTTAAATTTTCTTGATGGTAAAACAATTTTTAAAAGACGGGCATGACCATTGTTGGGTGGGTTAGACTGACGTCCCATACGGTAAAAAAACCTGGGTGCGCACTCAACCCCCACCGAGTCGAGTAGACTTGTTATTGCATTGGAGTCATCGGCCATTTTTTCTGATGGAAGTTTTTTTGTTGATTCCGTCAAACCAGTCACTACAACACTTCTTTCACGCTCTAACTCCTCTGCTGAAATTGTGTTTGATTTTGCTGCCCCTGAAAAATATCCATATGGTTGCTTTGTTTGTTGTTGTTCTTTAAGTGAATCGATTGATTTACTGAGTAGGTCAAATTGTTCTGTCAGGGTTTTAATAAAGTTTAATAAAATTGGAGTTTGCTCTGTTGTCAGAGTTGGAATAAAAGTATTGATTGTTGTTAGTGTTGTTTTCACCAAACTGACTTGACAATCAATAAGAGAATTGAGAGAATATGAATTTTCGTTGTTGTTGCTATTATTGGAGAGAGGCGAAAAATTGGCCTCTGTTGCTGTCCGTTTTGCAGGAATTTTATTTGCAGACATTTTTCCATCAATTTCCATTTTTTTTTTTTTTAAACCTTAATACTCGAACTTGGTGACAGCCAAAATGAACTGTGACAGCCAAAATGAATTTAAGTGATGAAATTGATCTTGAAGATTTTGTTTCCCGTCCAGATAAAATCTCGTGTGCTGAAATTGCTTCTATTTGTCAAGAGGTTTTTTAATTTATAAATTATCTCCTGAAATTTATTGGGTGGTGGCGAAAGTCGAAACTAAGGATTTGGTTAAATATTGTAAATTAATTCCCCCTCGGGGAAGTCGATTTTTTGTTTTGTCGGTACAAATAAAAGTAAAAATAAAACCCGAATTGTTTTCTCATGTTTGAACTCAAATCTCATTCCCGGTTTTATTCCGAAAAAGAACTTAATTCTAAATAATAATTTTTTCAAAACTTTAAAGGCAGGAATGTATGCTGTTAGAGAGAATCGCTACATGGTCCTTAGCAAAGATTTTAACAAGGCATATAAACAAGTGGTCAAGAAGGACAGTGATACTTTTGACTTTTACAAATAATATTTTTAAAAAAATATTTTGTGTGCGGATTTTAAAGAAAAATGTGTCAATTTTTTATTTAAATAAATGGAGGTAATTAATTATTAGAGTTGAAAAAAGGAAGAAAATATTATTGAGATGAGTGTGTTTATTTTTTTGAAAAGACCGGTTAATTTTTCCATGTGGCAGCTCAAAAAGAAAAGAAAAGCTTATGAGCCGCCACAAGGAAAAACTAACCGGCCTCCAACAACCTTAAGTAAAAAAATTAATAAGACCGTAAATTTGTCAGATAAGTTCTTTGTTCGTGTAAAATTCTATTTCCTAACCAACAAGAATTAAAAATACATTTTCTGCATTGAAAAACATCAAATTTTTCAGTGGTTGATTTTCGTTCAATTTGCATAACCAAACGGTCAAAACACCTTTTATCTTTTACAGTAACAGACCCAGCAATATTTTCGCCTGCATGTAGGCCAAAATGACTAAAAAAAATTTTTTGTAAAATTTTTTGGTAAAAATTATACCCAACACAACTTCTTTCGGGTATTTGAGTGTAAAAATCCCAATAGCCAAGTCCTGTCGCTCTTCTCCTTTTTGAAGAAAATTTTAACAAAATATTAATTTTTTACCTGTAGAGATTAAACCAAGCATGGTCTTGTCTTATTGTTAACTATTAATTTAAAATTAATTGGTTATTTTATTGAAATTATTTTTAAAATAATTGGGAATTTTATACTTTAATAGAAAACTTTCTAAATTTTTATTAAATTTACCGTTCCTATTCTATACCAGCCTCTAAAAATTAAAAAAATATTTCAACTTTTTATTTTAAATTTACCTAGGCAATTTTGTATCAATTCCATTTTCTTCCGTAAATGTTGGAGTGGGAATGTGGGTTTCACAAGTTACAGAACTAATTTTAATTTTTTTTGAATTTATTTAAAAAGATACCCGCAAGTAACTTCATTTGATTCTCTTAATTAAAAGATATTTAAATTAAAAAAAAATAGGGAGAGAATTCTTTGAATCTTTAAATTAATTTACCTGTAATATGTGCAGTAAACATTCCTTAATTTTATTTTATTTAAAAATTAATTTTAAAAAAACAAACTCTGCTTTGATTAAATCAAAACTTTTTAAAATTAAAAGACAAATAAAAATAGTAATAATCAAAGTCATTAAAAGAAAAAAGAAATTGATTTATTTTATTTGGAAGTATACTACATCTTCCTTTAAATATTTTTGAAGGTTTCCTATTTCTTCCATTATAATTCAAATTGGAAAGAGAAATAACCTTGAAATGTATGAAATTAAAGGCAGAAAACAAAAATTAAATTCATTTAATTTTTTAACAAAATGGGGGGTTTAATAAAAAAATTAAATAATTTTTATAAGAAAAATAAACAGCCGTGATTGAAATTAAGATTAAATTACCTAATTACTCTCGGACCTCAATTGCTTGGGAAAATTTTAATTTCTAAATTTAATTGGAAAAAACTGATATAAATGTGAGGCTAAACATCTAACAATTTATTGTATACGGAGGAGTAAAACGACACCCGATAGAAAAGGGGGAGAAGAATATACTTGGTTGTTGTACTGTGTCGACTGGTACTATAGCACAAGAACAACGAAAACAATCATTTTAAATAAATTTTCAAACAAAATATTTAAAAAATAACAATTAAAAAATAAACAAATTTTTAATTTCTCTAAATAATTTATTAAATTCTTCATCTTCACATAATTCACAATTTTCTCCAAATTCTTTTTCAAAAAATCCAATAATTGGTTTTATTCTTAATTTTAATTGAGAATTTATCTGAATTTCTTCTAATTTTTGTATTTTCCAAAACAATTTAAATTCATTAATTAATTCCAAAAATTGATTTAATAAATCTTTGTAATTTTTAAAAATCTAAAAATAAAAATTTTTTTCTCAAAAAAAATTAAAGAAATACCTTTCCTATAGTAATTCTATCAAATTCTTTTTTAAAAGCTTTCTCAAGTAAATTAACAAAAATTGTCCATTGTGTAATATCCTCCCCATTTTCCGGCTTTTTTAAAAATGCGTGAAGACGTTGTAACTAAAAAACAATTAATTAAAAGTATTCTAAAAAATTTAGAACAGATTTTTTTTAATTTTAGAGAGAAAGCTCTTCTTGTAGTAAAACTAGCAAGGAATTTTCCCAAGTTAAGAAGAGGGGCTGAGTTGGAGAGCTCCAAGGACTAATCTCATCAAATCTTTTGGTATTTTCTGGGAAGGGGGGAGGGGTAAGTCTGTATTTGAATAAATATTGGATATTTTTGGAATGGGATTTCTCTTGATGAAGAAATGTTTTGGAACCATACCCCAACTTTGCAACACCAAGAAAAATACAATTTTTTTTTTGATTGGACGCATAACCTAGGCCAGCACCAATTAATCATAAATCTTGTCAGTCATTTCTTCCTAGTATTTTTTTATTAAATTATGATTAAGGAAAATAATTAAAATTTAATTTTTTGGACCTATTTAATTCTCTAAAATTGTGCAAAACTTCCATTATTATCCATATAGATTCCAAAATATTTTATCAATCAAAAACAAATCTCCAACCTTTCCACCAAAAGACTGTCTCGAACTTGCACGTGCCAAAACCTTCAAAAGTGATTTCTTCATTCCTTCCAATTTTTCTTTATTTTGTTCATTTAATATTTCAATCGACATAATTTCTAGAGGGCATTCATCGATTTTTAAATTTTTGTCCAAATCCATTAATTTTTCCAAAGCAGATATTCCACTCTCATAATCCCCAATATCAACAGAAATTAAAAGAAAATTTGTCCAAAGATAAGTATTTTCCCAACTTAATTTTAAGGCTTCCTTAAAAATTGAAAAAAAAATTTAAAATTTTAAAAAATACAAAAATACTTGTAAAATTTTGTGTGCTCGATGTTTTTGATTTAAATGAATATATGAAGCTGCTAAAAGAATTTTTTTAATAATTTGTATATTCAAATTAAAATCAAAAAATTTACCCAAATTATTCCAAGCTTCAAAATGTTCAGGTTCAATATTTACACAACGATGAAAAGCTTTTACAGAAGTCTAAACAATTTTAAAATAAAAAAATTTTGATCGAATTAACCTGAAAATTGCCGGATTTCATTGCAGAATAACCATAATTAAAATAAATACCAGGCTAAAAATAGAAATTAATTAAAATGAAATAAAGGTACTTTATGGATATGTCACCCCCCCTACTATTTTGAGTCTCAGAGTTTTCCTTATACGTAGAAAATGGTCAGAGATTATTTTCTTCTCCATGTCAATCATTTTTCTTTCTTCTAGCAAAATAAGTGAAATGGGGTAAATGTAGAAACGAAATGAGTGAAATGTAAGTACAAAATATGTGAAAAGGCAAAATAAAAAAGCAAAATACTTGAAGAAGGAAAAAAATGATTGACATGGAGAAGAAAATAATCTCTGACCATTTTCTACGTTTAAGGAAAACTCTGAGACTCAAAATAGGAGGGGGGTGACATATCCATAAAGTACCGAAATAAATAACAAAAAACAAACAAAAATACCTGTAATGGTTGGATATCCAACGATCTTTCAAAATGTTTCATTGCTTCAGGAAAATTTTTTCGTTTTAACATTAAATTTCCTAATGATGCCCTAGCAAGTGCATTTCCATCTTCGGAAACCTAAAAAGAATTTTAGACAGAATTTTTTTGTGGAGACAAAAATTGAGAATATTTTTCTTTCGTTAACATTTTACATTTTTCAAACAAATATCTAAATAAAATTTCTCTCAAGAACCCCACCCCCCCTCCCCTTCCCAACACCTCCAAACAGATATAAAATTAAAAAAAACAAACAAACTTCAATAGCTTTTAAATAAAAACATTCTTCATTTGTAATATTTCCAAGAAGACAATAATAAAAAGGATCTTCTCCTTTTTCTTCCAAAAGTTTTTTAATTAAAATTTCGGCCTTTTCAGATTGTCCAGAATTTAAATAACATTTGACAACATCTTCCCAATAATTTAATTTTTCAAATATTCTAATAGCCTCAGAAAAACATCCGAGCGAAAGTAAAATTTCTGCATGTAATTTACTTACTTTCCAAAATGGAAGAGGAGAAGAAACAAAAATTAAATTGAGTCGTTCTGATTCTATAGACTGTGAAAAGTTTAAAAGAAATTTGTAATTTTTAAATATTTTGAATTTTTAAGTTCGGAGGGTCTCATAACGTTAAAACGATGAAATATCAAACCCCCAAAAACCGTTGAATGTCAAACTGGATTTTCTAGTGGGTTTGACATTTCTAAGAATTTAATTACAAAAATTCTGGTTTTAATTTTTAGTGAAAATTCTGATTTAATTAAAGAACACCCAGTAAAAGTTTATATAAATATTGTCCAGAAGAAAACTCTCGACTCCCTTCAACTTTTCCCTTTCTAAAACAAAAATTCTGAATTCCAAGTCCAAATCTAAAATAATTTTCTTTTACTAAAAAATTAACCTCATTTTTAACATTTTCATTCAAAATATTAGCTAATATTTCCATTTGAGAACAAGCCCTTTCAATTCTTCTAGAATTTTTTGCTTCTAATTTAGAACGTTCAATTAATGCTCTCATTTGTAAAGACCAAAAAGGACGTTGATCTATTACCTAAATTTTTAATTAAAAATCTCTTAAATTAAACAAAACTTCTTCCAAAAAGGCCATACAAGTTTCATCTTCAATTTGTTTTTCAATTTTATTTCCTTTCCTTTCCAATAATGCACTAACCAAAATACAAGCAATTTGGTGTGAATTAATTTTTTGTATTTTATTTTTGGGTTTTTCATCAAATAAAATTCTTTCTAAAAGTGTATCATCCCCATTTTTTGTATTTTGAATTATTTCTGTTGGTTCTTCTATTTTTTGATTGGTAGTAGAAGTTATTTCAAACTAAAATTTGAAATTTGTCAAGTAAAAGGGAGTAAAAAATGAGAAGGAAAAGTGTGGATATTTTAAAAATAAAAATATTTGTAAATTAAAACAAACTTCGACAAAAAGTTGGGGAACACTTTTCTCTTGAAATTGAGTTCTTTTTCCTAAAAATATAATTTATTACAGGGTTCGTATGGAGAAAAAGTAAAGTTAAAGTGCTTCAATGAAAATCAGAGAATATCCAGGGACGGAGTTTTTTAAATATCCAAAGACCAGCCGAAATCTTTTTTTGGATTTTAAAAATCAAATAAGACAGAATTCACATCTAATACTAATTTCGTTTTCACAGTACGTACTATTAAAGCATCTATATTTGATGCTATTAAAGCATCAAATACAAACCCTAATTCAATATAATTTTCTTTAAAAATTAAATAAATTATTTACCTAAAGCTCCACCTAATTGTAATTGTTTAAATCCGGCAAGTTTAATTGCTTCTTCCAAACATTTCTTTGAAGAGGAAAATTCAAAAAAATTTAAAAGAGAAAGTGCCCTTTCCAAAAGAAATTCTATTTGAAGATTTTTGGAAGTTGAAGAAGAAATTTTAAATAATAAATTGGACTAAAGATTAAAAAAAAACAATTAAAAATTAATTTAAAATTAACCAATTCATTCATTTGTTTAAATAAATCAATCTGTTTGTCAAACAAAATATTTGACCAAATATTTAAAAAACGATATTTCCATAAAAGATGTTCAAAAGATGAATTCCAAGAAGCAGGTAAGTGACGAAAGGCTTCTTTTGCTGCAAACAAATGTTCAATAAAACTAACAATAAGAAAATTTAGAATTTAAATTAAAAAATATTTTTTACTAGTGAGGGAACTCAAGGGAGTATCCAGAAGGTGAATTTCGAGGGGCATAACACGCGATTTCTAAAAATTCTGATTTTTCTTTTTCAGCGACACACGCGAAAATTTTTTGACAACGATTACAAACTATGAGTTGCGTACGCGGAAAAAAACCACTTCTTTTAACATTTTTTTCCTTAATCAACCCCTAGAATAATTCAAATTAAATAACAAACCGGGCCCCATCAAACGGTTTATTCAATCCAAAAGATAGTTCATTAAAAGAAACTTTCTTCAATTCCTCAAGCGATTCAAACCCTTCCAGAAGGTTTTTACCGACATCAGGTTGACCTAAAAATTATTTTTGGAATTAAAAAAAAATTAAAAAATAAACGTTCAAATCCAGCAAAGTTAGCCCCAACAAAAATTAATAAATGAGAAACTGCACAATTAAATAAATCATCCTCTTTTAAATTTTTAATTTGTTGACGTAAAAGAATTAAAAATTCATTTTTATTTTGCATTATAAAGGAAGGTATTTTTATTAAAAACTATTTAAATTAAAAAAATATTAAAATTGAATAAAAAATTTATAAAAAAATTAATATATTTTAAATTCCAAACATTTATTAAAATTTAAAAAAATAAAAGAAAATATGTAAAGTTGTACATCTATAGAATATGCTTTTAAATATGAGTCTTAAAGAATACATTGGAGCAGAATAAGACGAAAAATAATAACCAGGGATTTGAATGGATAAAAGTGTTTTTAACACAGAAATATTTTTTTTTGTAATTTATTGTTTAATAAAAAACTTTTTATTTTTTATTAAAGTTAGAGGGAAAAATCATAGGCGCCGGTCTAGTTTATGCATCCAAACAACAAAAAATTGGATTCTTCTTGGTAAATCAAAGTTGGGGTATAGTTCCAAAACATTTCTTCATTTTTGAGACCTAATTGTAAGCCCACTGGATTAGACGCATAGAAGTTCATTGGATGCATAAACTAAACCAGCGCCAAATCCCCTTTTATATGTACGAAAATAAAATGACTAAAATTTCCCAAAATTAATTTAAAATTCAAATAAATTCCATTTAATACCCCCATTTTAAATAATTTTTGTCTACGCCTATAACTAGAATATTTAACTAAAAATAAACTTTTAAAATTCGATAGAATATTTGAGTAAATTTTTCTCAATTAAATGCAAACAAAAAATTTCATTTTTTAAAACCTTTCAAAATTGGATAAATCTGTTAAAAATAAAAATTGTAAAATAAAAAAATATTTAAAGAAAAACCTGATTAAAAGCCTCGTCAATATCCTTTTTATATTTTGCCCCAGTTATAACTACCTTTCCGCTAACAAAAATAAGTAAAACAACACGAGGCTTAAATTAATTTTTTAAAAAATAAATTTAAAAAGATTAATTAAAAACATACTTTAACCATTCGATAAATTAACCCAGGAAATAATTCAGGCTCGTAAGTACTGAATTGGGCGTGGGTAATACAAAGGCCTGAATTAAAAAAATAAATAAAATTATATTTACAAAAAATAATTAAAGATTTATGAAAAATACTGCTTTTTGGGGGTATTTTAGAAGATCAAAATCAAGGGGAATAATTTAATAAAGAAAATTTTGATTAAATTAATGAAATACTGTTATCTAAAATTGAAAATTTATTATTTTTAGGGTTATGGCTTTTGAGTCGGGCCGACGTCGAGTCATTTTTCGGGCCTCATTTTTATCGGGCCGGCCCGACCGAGTCTTTTTCGGGTCAAAATTTGATGCCCGACTCGATCTTTCGGACCGGTCCGGGTCCCCAACCCTAATTATTTTGATTCTCTGGTTTATTGAAAGAAAATTCTGGTTTAAGACTTGTTAGAAATCTTGTTAAGAATCCATTAGAAATTAGATTTTCAACATTCCCCAATAAAATTTTAATTTTTATTTAATTCTTATCAATTAAATATAAACCTTCCAATTGTATAGGAAATTTAACATCACAAGACCCAACCATATTTTGAACTTTAAATTCAGTAAATTTTGCATTGAATCCCAATTTTTGAACAATTCTTGCATATTTTCTAGCCGCCAAACGGCTCATTTCTTCTGATCTAAATTTTAAAATAAATTTAATTTAAATTTAAAATAAAAACTTCGCTCCAGTGCAAACCATTTTTCCAGAAGAGAAAATTAATGCAGTCGTTCTGGGATCGCGAATGCGCATAATAACGGCAGCAAAACGTCTAAAAAATAATTTTTTTTTAATAAAAAAATTTTAATAATTTTTTACTTTGGATTATATTCAGCATTACGAGCTCTCAAAGCAATTTGTTTAAGATCCAATTGAACACCTAAAAAATAAATTAAAAACAGGTAATATTTATTGAACCGGACAGAACCCTTTTTTCCTCCCCAAGTTTCCCCCAATTTTTCCTCCATTTTACTTGTTTTGGCATGTACTTGCACTTGTATAAAATTAAATTATCCTTTTTGTTTGATTGTAGGCAAAAATTAGAAAGGCAATATGGATGGAAGAAAAGAAAAAGTCTGACCATTTTGCAGAAATATAGGGGCAAATTGGGTAGGAAAACGGAGGGCTGTCCGGTTCACCTTAAAAACATAAAATTCAAAAATAAACCTAAATTAACCGTAGATACAATATTTTGTAAGGTAGGTGAAGGTACTTCTGCCGGAGCACTAAAAGGAGTCTGAGGAATAACTGTTGGAATATTTGAAGCAGGCAATTGAGAGCCAATATGATGTTGAGAATCTCTAACAGAATACCCTCCTTGTAGCGGAGTCATTGGAATATTTAAATTATTTAGAACACTTTCAGGCCCTCCATCATTATAATTACTTGCTGAAGCTGGAATTCCTGCCAAATTTACAACAGAAGAAGGACCTTTATATTCATTTCCTCCACTTGAAGAAAATGGATTGAGAACAGATCCTGGACCTTGACTGTTGAATACAGAGGCTGTTTTAGAAAATAGAAAGAATTAGTAAATAATTTCATTAACAAAGTTTATGGATCTCTTGTTTGAATTTGCCATGGAGAAAAAAAGAGAAAAATCTGACCATTAATCTGACCAATCTAAGGAAAAATAGGTGAAAAATGGGGATGGGCAGCTTCAAAATTGCACAGATCAGATTACAAAAGCAATTTTTTGACTATTGTTTCGTAAATAAATTGACACAAACCCTAACTTGCCTTTAGATTTAGGTTCAAAATTAATTTGTCAAGTGTCAAAAATCTACTTATAACCCTAATTGTAAGAGAAAAAAATTAAAAACCTGTCCCTCCAACAGAATGCATAGATTGCGCCCCAATATTTATTGTAGAGCCCGGACCGGCACTTCCAAACAAATTTTGATAATTTGATAAAGGCTGTTGAGATACCGATCCCGGGCCATTCGAACCAAAATTCAAAACTCCACTGTGCATAGGTGTTTGTCCACCACTTAAGAGATTTAATAAAGATTGAGGATTTGCTGGTGAAGTGCCGAATTGATCCATATTTAATTATTAATTATAGTAAATATAATCTAATATCAATAAAAATATGTAGATTACTAAAATTAACGAGTTAGGAAATAAATTTAAAAAAAAGTTGAGGTAATCCTAAATTCGTCCCAACAAAGCAAATCCACAATTCGGCCTACAGGACAAAACCGAAGATTCATCCTCCTTAAATTCGTCCCATTGAGCAAAAATATATGTTTCGTCCTAAACACAAAAATTCACGATTCTTTCCTTCCAAAATTGTCCCAATCCAAAACGTCCAATAGACCAAAAAAATACTCAGGAGCTATTGATAATGATTCATCGAAGAATTCAAATTTTCGATCGAACTGACCATAGCGACCGATCAAGAATCTCTTTAGGGATCGATCACTCTCGTTAATTGAACATATTGATCAGATTACTGTCTGATGTTTTTTGACTAAATAGACAGAAATAAGGTAATCTGGAAGATATTTCATGTTCGATTTTGTGGAATTAATGGTGATATAGGGTCGATGGCCATATTATTATAGTATCGATATCCATAATTACAGTATTTTTTGTAGAATTTTTCAATGAGTAGAAAAACAATATTAGAAGGAAATAATTAGAAGACAATATTATGGTTGATAGAAACTAAAAGAATTTTTTGCAGAAAAAATGCCTTTTTGCAGAACGCCTTTTGCGGACATGTGGATTGCGAGCTATCCATTTACCGGGACGCTTTTACTTGTTCATGGGACGCTTAAAAACTTATATGACGAATGTCCTAAACTAGAGCCGGCCGATAATTTTCAGAATCTACTTAAAGGGCATTTTATAGTAATTTTTGCAGCCTTCTCATGGGACACATAAAAGATCATGGGACGCATGCCCTAACGCATGTCCTAAATTTTATCAAGTTTTTTAAATCAGATTTATGTAAAAGTTTTGACATTAAACGAATAAATTAATTTAAAATAAAAATTTTTTTTTAATTAAATAAATTTAATTTATTGTCACATGTTTATTATTCCCTTTTCTATATTAGAATTCGAAAGAGAAAACCTCGAAAATCGAAATTTCGAGACGGCTGTGATTTAAATAAAAAATTATTACCAAGGACACATACACCAGGGGTGGCGCAAGTCCACAAAATACGAGACGAGCGCCACTCCTGACATACACTATTATTAAACTCCTCCTTTTAATATTTTTTATTTATAAAATAAATGTTTATTTATTTATTCATTAACAATTTTTAAAAAAATTAAAAAAAAATGCTAAAGAATTTTATAAAAATAAATTTATTATTATTTATTTTTATTATAACAAAAAATGATGGAATGGACCCTGAAAAGGATACTATTGAGTATTTCTTGAGGGGAAGTGGAGCTTTTGGCAAAACAAATAGTTTAAGACAGGAGGTAATTTACCTACCTATATTATTTTCTGTGTATTACCTTGAATACTACAGGGTGACCATAAAAGTTTAGTGAATGAAAAGTGTCCTAAACTTTAATGTTCACCCTGTACAAATTGAAGAATATCCATAAACTGAACTAGTTACCTATATAATTTCCTCTTAAAAATTTCCAAAGAAATAATAAATTCTCTCACACTTTTAGGAGAATCAAACCACTTCTAATGCCGAAATCAACTCAACCACCCCTATGCAAACAAATCATCCCCATTCCTCTTTGTATAATCAAAACATTCAACCCCCTCAATTTAATCCAAATTTTCCTCAACAAAATATGTTTTCTTCATCCTCTACAAATCAATTCCCTTATCATCAAAATTTTTTTCTTGGGCATTATCCAGATAATCAACATTTTGTTCCAAACCATCCAAACTATTTCGATGATTCTTTACATTCTGGTGTAAATCAGGGGTCAACAAATAGTCTAGCACAACAGGAATGTGCATATACCTATACAACTAAAAACACTAAATTTGTAGTCAATTAACTTTTTTCTAAAAATTTCTAAATTAAATCTAAATAATTTCCACATTTTTAGGAAATACAAAACAATCTAAATGACGAAATATTCAACTCATCCACTCCAATTCAGACAAATCCTCCCCATCCCACTTATAATCATGCCATTCACCCCCTTAAATTCTATCCAAATTTCCATAATCCTCAATCACAAAATATCTTTTCATCATCCTCTACAAATCCCCTTCAATATTTTGGTGGACATTACCCAAACAACCAACATTTTGTTCCAAACCATTCAAAATATTTTGGTGATTCTTCACATTCTGACAAGGCTCAAACTTTTTCAGAAACCTTTCCAACCCAACAAGCATCATCGTCATCTTTTAAAAATAATGAAATGACTAGTATGTTATGAAATTTAAATTACCGTAAATACTCTAAAATAAGCCCTGGGCTTATATTTTTCAAAGTGTAACTTTGCCTGGGCTTATGTTAAAGTATGTAAATTAGGTATATATTTTAATATTTATATTTTAACAAAAGATGAAAATGATGATGAAATAATGAAAGAATTATGCAAACATATTCAAAATATAGATGTTAATCGTAATTGTTTTTTTTCTTTTAAAAATTTTTAGTGAAAGTTTTGTGCAGGTGTTTTGTATTTGACTTTTTATTTCAATTAAAAAGTATTAAAATTTAATTATTTTAAGAAACTGGAAAAAGACGTGACCAACAAAGATTTCGTGAACAAGAAAAAGAAGATATTAATTCAATTAAAAGTGCTTGTAACAACAAAACTAGTTTAGAATTGCCGACAAATTTTGGTTTGTTTTTTAATTTTTATTCATTTTTTGGCATTTTGTTTATACCCCCCCCCCCCCTATTTGAGTCTCAGACCGTCAAACATTACGAGTAAAAGGCAAGTTATTAGGCAGGAAAAGATAAACGGTAATAAAAGAAACCATACTATAGGCAAAAATTAACATTTATAAGGAAGAAAATTTGGCCATTACGAGGCAGAGAAGAATAAAAGAAAAATTAATCTGAGACTCAAATTAGGGGTTGGGGGGGGGGGTAATAAAGTACCCAATTTTTTATTTAAAATTTCTAGGTGATTATTGGTATTTTTTGAAGACTAAAATATTGTCGAAAATTTCTGACGAAACTTTCGTCGAAGGATAAAATTATTAAATTAATAAATTTCATTTTTGTATGACATCATTTTTGATCGTTATCGCCTATTTTTGCTCTTTTTCCGTTTTTCCATAAATGGATGAAATTATCCATTTTTATCTAAAATTCCAATCTTTTTAATAATTTCATCCATTTTCACTTCCGCCCAACCTTTTAACCGCAAACATATAATTTTTTAATGTCTTTTATTTTTTCCATTGCCCACATTCCATACCACACACATAGATTGTGGCCTATTTAAACCTAATCATTTTTCCCACTCTTTATGTTTTTACATACCCATAATGTTTTGACATACACAGTTCTGACTTATCCACACCTAATCATTCCTTATCTTTACCAATTCCAACCACCCTTTTCAACCACACAAATAATTGTAAATTTCTTTGAATTAAATAAATATTATTAAAATATTCGTTTGTTAGTATTCTTTGAGAATATTCGCCTAACTTTCGTCTACGTCTAAACTTGGCCGTCTAAAAACCTTTGCCTCCGTTTGGTTTGCCCTGTCTTAATCTTTGGGATTAAGACCTCATCAATACCCTTTACCCCATCTTCTTATTTTAGCGGCTAAACCTCTTTGATCCCTCGTCAGTGGATTCCCGACCTAAGAAGTTTGCCGTTAAAATTGGTGCCACGACCCGGGACTGCCGTCGACATTCATCAGTCAACACAAATTCAAACAACAATTCGACTATATTTCGTCTGCGCCGAAAGGATCAGCCGTCGACAAAGACCAACATTCCCAGCAGAACAAACGACTATAGTTGAACCAGTACAGCGACCTCAAGCCGTCCAACTGTACACCTTGAATTTATTTTATTGGCAGCCCTTTCGTCTAATCAACTCGTCTAAATTCTAAATTCGTATATTGGTTAATTCCGTCAACGTATTAACAACACTTAACCTTTCAACATGTCACGAATACTTCGTCAAGAGCTCAGTGTAGCGGTGACGTCACTCGTAGAACGTCTAAAGAATGCCGATTCGTATATCGACAAAATCAAATCGACACCCACGGAAGAGGAGGAACGGGAACTCCTAATCGAAGTTGAGATGGAACTCGTACATCTATCTCAGAGGACCGAGAAGCTCCAATCAGTTATTCGTCACTATCATCAGTATATGGAAGGTTTAAGCGAAGCGAAGCAAGATGAGGAAGAGAATTTTTTAGTCAACTACTTGACTGACGACGAGAAATCAGACCGAAATGAAATCCAACATCATTGGCCAATCACCAGTTTGGTCAACCGGGCAAATGAGGCAATCAACCATCTAAAGGCTTATCGAGTCATGCGTCAAATGACAGATAGCAACAGTAATAATTCACCAAGTGCGCAAGGATCTATCAACCTCAACGAATCGCAACGTACACATATTATTTGGCCAAACCAGGAAAGATGTCAGTTATATTCGGATGAAAAAGAAGAAAGAGAATGGACACGACTGCGACGAAACGTACGACAAAACGACAGAGATGCTTACGAGCCAGAATTAAGAATTCGTCAGGAACCGTCACAAACGACCATTTCATCATTGAATGCTCTTAAAGTCGACAGTGTGCGTCTACCTACGTTCGGCGGCGATATTAGAGAGTGGCGTACATTTTGGGCAGCATTCGAACATGCCGTCGATCGACAACCATACCCTCTCTTCCAGAAACACCTCTTGCTCTTGCAAAATCTTAGAGAAGGATCGGCAGCTCGTGAAGCTATCATTGGATACCCACCATCAGATACCAATTACCCAATCATCAGAGAAATTTTGAAGGATAAATATGGTAACGACGATCAACTCAGCGACCAATTAGAAGCACAACTCTTAAAATTACAGCCAATTCGAAACAACCTTCGAGAATTGTCCCAATTTCAAAAGGAAGTCGAACGAATTTGTTTGCAGCTTGAACGTTTAGGAGGTCCAAAACAACGATTCATCTGCAACATCATCAAATCAAAACTTCCTCAAGAAGTCTTGCAACAGCTCATCACAGAGGAGCTGCGTTCGAGAAGAAGGTGGGATGATACGGATCTTCGGAACGCCTTAGCGGATATCGTCAAAATACGACAAGCGACGGAAGAATGTATAGCATCGTTTCAACATGAACCACGAAGAGAACAACATCGAGATCAAAATAATTATGAAGCTTATGGAAGGGAAAGATTTGAAGTACGACAAGAAACACGACCAACACCACGTCCAATGGAACAACCGATAGCAGTTCCTGGAGGCAACGAAAACGACAATTATCGTGAAAACAATGAACCGTTCTGTTCGCTATGTTGTAACCCTGGTCACAAACCGAGCCAATGTTCAACATATTCAACACCTCAACAACGTGAAGTTCGTCTATTGGAACAAGGCCGATGTTTGAAGTGCTTGCAGCAAAATCACACAACCGAGCAATGCCAACGTTTAAGTAATTGCCGAAAGTGTGGAAGTGGTCAACATCATTTCCTTATTTGCGCACCACCGCCGAATCCAATCGACTATTCAACAACTCAAGTTTGTTACCCTGCACCACGTCTAGATGTGCAATCGTTTGGGGTTCAGTCTTCAACATTACCGCCAACGTCGAATTCAAATGTGTCCCAACGCCAAACATCACCACGTCGAAATGAGGAACCAAACCCGGATGGAACAGTTGGAAATGCAACGATGTTCAACAGTCAACGAGATACGACCGCAATGTGTTCGCTTCATGAGTCAATGGTTTCTGTTAAAGAAGTCAAAGAAGAGACTGCCCCAGTCATGGAAACTCAGGACACAATGGAACCTGAAGCAGTGAAAGAAGAATCAAAACCGACTCTCGATTCATCAACTTACGACGACAAAGAGAAGTTAATATCCAAACACATCGAAGTTTCATGCAAAGTAATTCGTAGTGAATGTGTTTTGACTATTGTTCGCCTTGTGTCAAGAAGTCAGATCAGTTATACCGTCAAAGAACCAGTTGTTCAAGAAAAGCCATCAAAAGCATCACAAGAGGTTTTAGACAACATACCTTTGCAGAAAGAAGAATTAACTGATTGTGTTCAACCGTCAAAACAGCCCGAAGACATTCGTATACATACTTTGGCAAAATGTAATGAAGTGACAACAAGCGAAATGACAATCAAAAACGACAATGACAACACCTCAGTAAATCCTGATAGATCGTCTAAAGAATCGTCACAACCAATACTTCAGAATCCAACGACATTACCGCCGATCAAAATTCAGTTAAACCGGAAGAACGTCAAATGGAAAACCTGTCATGATTCAATAACCGACCAATACCACCCGTCAGGAAAAGATAATATCGACAACGCCAAAATCGACAAAACAATATTCGAACTAGATCCGTCAACCAATCCAGGATGGTTTTGCTTAATCCTTATTCTTCGAGATGTAATTGGGATTATCCAATGCCTACGACCACGTCAACTACATGTATTCAAAACGTCTAAAGCTTATATCAAACAACCTATGCACGATTCTTATAGCAAACAAGACGACAAAACAGTATGTATCTGGAGTATACGACATGATCAATATTCCTTGTTGGAAAACTGTGCAACATACCCAACCAACAACGTTGATACATCACACCATGCACTAATCAGCAGCGATGGACTTTTATATTTAAAACCCCGCGCTAATTTCTGTAATGGACCTGAAACAATCATGAAATGTCATCACTCAGGCAGATATGGCATATGGATGATCGGCAAAACGTCAACTGGATTTGTATACATTTTCTTGCAACTACCACCAACATTTCGAATTTATCGACAAGAGGAATCAAAACAGCAACCGACAAAACCAACCCAATCTCGTCTACGTCTATATCACCAGAATATACGTTTGGATGTAATTTATTTGGAATCGCGGATGCGTCGACTAATACGCCTGAACCCTTTCGACCATTTCGACAACAAAACGACTGCGCCTATTTTTACCATTCAATTCAACGACTTCCATTCAATTTACTTTCTGCGTGGCCGGCCGGATGTTCCTTCCAGAAAAAGGAAAGATTTGCGTCAAATGGACAGATTTTCGACAAATAGATATCTACATTTGATCCACCACCCACAGATGAAACCAATGAGGTCAATGGAATTGGAATGGAGGAAACCGTAAAGAAATTTTTTGTAAATTTTATCTTTCTATTTATCCTTTTCCCTCATTCATATATTTGTATCTGCCCCTCTCAAATTCTTAATCATTTTTTTGTAATTTTTTCAAACGTTTGGAATGGATGAACATCAACTCAAATTTCATCAATAATGGGTCCTCATCAAATGTCACAGCATTTCGTCTAAACGTCTAACCTTAACGTCTAAACATTAACGCCTAAACTTTAACGTCTAAACCTTAACGCCCAAACCTTAACCGTCTAAACCTTAACGTCAAAACTCAACAAAAGAAAATCACAACAAAATCGTCAAGTTTAAATTTAAAAAGTAATCATCAAAAGCATCTTCAAATTAATGTTATTGGCGAAGCCAAACAAACTAAATTAAATAAGAACGTGGTGAAACATCATAATCTTAAATTTCAACCTCATCAAATAAAAAGCAAAACTTCAAACCAAATCTTTACAACAAAACTTATAAAACGCAAAATCGACAAATGGAATATCGACTAAAACTTTAAATCGACTAATCAACATAATCTTAACAACTAAGGACCCACTGATGTGCCTGCCCGCGGCAATGTCGAAAATTTCTGACGAAACTTTCGTCGAAGGATAAAATTATTAAATTAATAAATTTCATTTTTGTATGACATCATTTTTGATCGTTATCGCCTATTTTTGCTCTTTTTCCGTTTTTCCATAAATGGATGAAATTATCCATTTTTATCTAAAATTCCAATCTTTTTAATAATTTCATCCATTTTCACTTCCGCCCAACCTTTTAACCGCAAACATATAATTTTTTAATGTCTTTTATTTTTTCCATTGCCCACATTCCATACCACACACATAGATTGTGGCCTATTTAAACCTAATCATTTTTCCCACTCTTTATGTTTTTACATACCCATAATGTTTTGACATACACAGTTCTGACTTATCCACACCTAATCATTCCTTATCTTTACCAATTCCAACCACCCTTTTCAACCACACAAATAATTGTAAATTTCTTTGAATTAAATAAATATTATTAAAATATTCGTTTGTTAGTATTCTTTGAGAATATTCGCCTAACTTTCGTCTACGTCTAAACTTGGCCGTCTAAAAACCTTTGCCTCCGTTTGGTTTGCCCTGTCTTAATCTTTGGGATTAAGACCTCATCAATACCCTTTACCCCATCTTCTTATTTTAGCGGCTAAACCTCTTTGATCCCTCGTCAGTGGATTCCCGACCTAAGAAGTTTGCCGTTAAATATACAAAAATTTTAAATATCAATCTTCTGGTGCATTCCAAAGAAGTTATGCCTATTACTTTTGTTCTAACAAAAAAGCTAACTGTGTAGGAATATTGCGTTATGACAAAGGATTTAAAATTACAGAAAAGCAAAAACATTCTTGTGTGGAAATTGGTAATTATTAGGGGGTTGTTTTGAGTGTGTTTTGAGTAGTGTTTTCTAAATTCCATTAATTTCTGAAAGTTCTTGTCTTTAAATTTATAAAATTGAAGAGGCGATATTTTGTTTTAATTACCGTATTTCTTCTAATAGTACGACCGGTCGGTTTATTTTTCAACCATCCTCTAGAGGGTCGGTCGGTTTATTAGAAGGGGTCAGTCTATTAGAGAAATACGGAAGAAATACGGTATTCCTTGTTTTTAATTATAATTAAAATTCTCTTTTAAGAATTTTTAATATTTATTCTTGATTTGTTTAGTATGTAAAAATTATTAATATTTATGTAATTAAAAGAATATAGGTATATTATTTTTTAGAAGAAAATGTTTACCTTGCTTCAATTTGCATTGAATCAAAATTTAGAAATCGAAAATCTACTAGTTATTCAATTTTTATAAATAACGGTAATGGAAATGAACAATTTATTGGAACTCAAAAGATTGGGGAAGAATGTAAAGAATACCCAATTCCTTTTGGAATGAATCAAATTGAAATTAAAATTAAATGGATAAATGTTAATTTAGATTTAAATTCTAATGAAGATATATATAATGAGGTGAAATAAATAAAAAAAATTTTTAAATTAATTAGGTACTTTTAATTGTTAAAGGATTTTAGAGTTGAATTAATTGAAGGATTTTTATGTTTAATTTTTTTATTTTAGAAGTTGTTCTATGTTGATAACACAAAATATCTGATAAATTACTGTTTAATTTTGGATTTGGATAATATGAATGGAAATTATAAATGGGAATTGTTTAGTGAAGAAAAAGGAAATGAAATGGTTCAAATAAATAAATTACCGTTCGGATTAGGACGTGAAGTATTAATTTATAAGAACAGTCATTTTATGGGATATTTTGAAAAGAAAAACTATCAATCAAATAAGGATAAAAAAGGGAAAAACAAAAATAAAGTATAAATACTTTATCGAAAGTTAAATAGAAAGTTTGTGATTTGGTTGTTGGTGTTATTGACTCTAAATGGAATTTTTTAAAATTATTTTTTTAGGATTTATTTATTTAAAAATTTTTTGGGATTATTTGTTGGATTATTTGGATTATTATTATCTTTTGGATTATTTATTTATTTAAAATTTATTTTATATTTCCGGAAATTTTAGAGCCACTTGTTTAAAATTATTTTGAATTTTTATTTCGAAATTAAAATTTGTCTGGTAAAAAATTTCCTTTATGTTTTTATTTTTTAACAACACTAAAACATTGCACTAAACCTAAATGTCTAGTAAAGTTTAATGGAGGTTAAAAAAATTAAGCAAATTAATTTCTTAATTACTTTATCAAAAAAAAATTTCTTTAAAAAAATATAAAACTGACTAGATTTCAAAATTTATGAAAGTTATTAAAGTATTTGCGAATATTGGCAAAACTATATTAAAAATTAAAGCATTCAAAGAAAGTCCCTAAATACCTATATGTATGTCCACTCTACCTTTTCACCTTTTTTCATTCCATAAGAGGTGCATTTGATGTTTTTAAAAGACAATGTTCAGAACCAGCTACAGAAGCAACACTATTTGTATCTTCATCATTATCATCATCATTATCTTCTTCTCCTCCACCTCCTCTTTCTCCTTCATTTGGTGATTTCTCTCTTTCTAATATAGATAAAGGTGTTGATTGAGCACCATCTTCTTCAATTATACTTCTTAAAGGTGTTGGTCTTTCACTTGGACTTTTACATTCTGTATTTTCTGTTGTTGTTGTTGTAGCAGAATTACTCCCTCCAAGTGTAGCAGTTAATGATTGAGTAATAAATGGTTTCCATTTTCTCATACAAGTTATGAATAATTGAAAAAGAGTCCAATCACCAAGTGGAAGCTTCAAAAAATATTTTTTAGAAAAATGGTGTTTTTTGATAAAAGGTGTTTTTTGAGAGTAAATATTTAAAATAACTCGAAGAAGAAATTTCGAGATAACAATCACACCCCCAATAACAATCAAATTAATAGAAAATGTACTACAAATTTTAGATGTGCTCTGTTATTGAGTGTATGTAAACACTTTTATTGGAAATTTTCGGATTTGACTCGGATCTATCTCTCCCAACTAATTAACGTACATACACAAAAAAGCAAAATTATAGTTAAGTTCAAATAATGAAGGAGCTTGGGGGAAACCAGTTATCCTACTAAAGAATAGGAGGGGATAGAAAAATAATTTTAAAAAATCTCACATTTAAAACAATTCTTAATTCCTCCAAATTGCAAGAATGTAAAGCCAAACCATTTAGATTGTGTTTAATTAATTTTTCACCAACATGCTGAACCTTATCCTTTAAATATTAAAATTTTAAAAAATAATCTTCTCATTTACTTTAGAAATATTTAATCTTTTCATTAAAGCATCAATTTCCCCAACAGACATCCTCGCAAGAGGTTTTGAAATACTTGCCCACACCAACGGATCATCAAAAAGAAATTCAGCTTCAGCCCCCAACAATTCTTTTAAAGGTCCAAAAGGGTCATGACTACTCCCTCCACCACCCTTTTCTTGTTCTTCTGTTTCTTCTGCTAAATCAACTAAAGGTTCTCCTCCTCTTTGTTCTCTTATTAATCTTCTCATATAAGGATCTAAATTTGAAGTACATGGGGCAAATGATCTTGCATGTCCAACAGTCAACTTAAAAAAATTTTTTGCGAAAAAAAACTTTTTATAAACTTGATTTTGTTTTCCAGCACATAATTTTCTAAAAACTGATTCAAATTCGGAGCTATTTCTATCCAAATCTTCCATCCCTTCTCGAATAGAAATTCTACTTTTCAATTGGCAGTAAAGTTCGTAAAGGAGAAGAGAATCATCCTAAAAAAATTTTTTAAATTAACAAATTATAATTAAAAACCTGTAAACTACAAGCAACATCAATTAACCAACACATTCTCCTAAAAAATAAAATATAATTAAAAATTTACTAGGTAAGGTTGAGAGACTGATATTCCCTTTCTAAAACGTAAATTTTTAATGGATTAATCATTAAAAATATTATTTATTTACTTTAACATTCTTGAATTATTTCTAAAGTATAGAAAACAAGAAAAAAACAAACCACGGCCACTGTTCAATTAAAGAAACCCAAGCATATACTTGCCACCAATTAAATTCAACTTCAAAAACTCTAAGTAATCTTCCAGTCAAAGCTATACTGTTAACTATTCGACGTCTTTAAAAAAGAAAATTTGTTAAAATTATTTTTAAAAAATTTACAAAATTCGTGGATTTATATTTGCAAATAAATCAAAAGAAGGGGAAAAATGGCTAATTTCATTAACATTTGTTGAGATTCCTCCAACGCCTGCAGAATCTGTTCGATCTGTTGCTCGAAGTGACATTTTTGAACCAAGAAAAGTATCAGAACGAATTCTATCTTTTAATGGGAGAGCACTTAAATTATTTACATCTAAAGCCATTTTCTTTGCATTTTGTTGATTTCTCATTCTTCTAAGTGCAACAATGTGATCAAGGAAAAATGGCCTATAAAAAATAAAAATATAGACAGGACTCGAATTCGAGTACCCAAAATTATTTTAGGTAGATGTAAAACTTGATTGACTACTGAGCTTATTTGATAATGGAAATGTTACTAGTTGAGAAAAAAGTTGGACCGGATTTTGGAATAGGCTGTGGAAAATTTCTCGGGTCAAGGTTCGGTTTGAAAAAAGCCGGTTTCGTGAAGCCCATGAAATCCCTACCTGATACCCTCTTCAATTTAAAACTCTTTTAATAATATTTTTTCAGCCCCAAGTATGTTTATATTTATTTAAATTCTCTTATTTACATTGTAACAATATTCTTTAAATAATCACGTCCAGTTATTTCATTTTCAGAACCAGAAGAACGCAAATTTTGTTGAATTGTAGAAATTACAATATTTCTATCTAAAGCAAGTAAAACAACAAAAGGAGCATTTTGACGAGAACAAAAAAATAAATTGAATGCCTAAAAAATAATTATTTCTTACAATAAATAAATTAATATACATCCAATAATTGAACCATTTTATTTTGTTCACAACTATCCAAACCATCTACCATTATTACTAGTCTTGTTTGACTATTTATAAAAGCATCAAGAGTTGTTACCTTCAAAAAAATAATTTTGAAAAATTGTATAAATTATACCAAAGAAACAAGTAAATCAACTTCTTTTTGCAATTTTTGTAACATTCGTTCGAATGGTTGAAGGTGAATTCTGTTTATTATACGAGCAATTCGATGCTTTGGCTAGAAAATAATTATTGACGTCTTTTTAGAAAGAAAAGGGATTAAAATAGGAGTGGGAACTACTGGTCCAGATCAGAGATGGATTTTCTTCCGCTTCCGCAGAATTCCGCTTTTTTGACACTTCCGTCTCTGCTTTCTTATTTTATTCCGCTTTCTGCAGCTTCCGAATTCCGCTTTTTAAAATTCAAAATTATCCATCCCTGGTTCAGATCCTGCTCGATTGTTTGCGTTGTATGCCCATTTCCCATTTAATGATCCAAATTTTCCAAAATTCCTGTCTCTAACTAGACCCCCAATTAAAAACCATAGACTGTATTTCATTCCCATTATAAAAGATAAAAACAAACCAAATTAATAATTAATCTAATACTCAAAACATAAAGTAAAACAGTTCCAGAAATAACACTAAAAGCAATAAAAACAGAAGAAGCCAAATGTTGATTTTGAATAAATAAAAGAGAGGATATTGCCAAAGAAAGAGGAAACATTAAAATAATTAATAAAACAGGAATTCCACAAATACTTTGAAGTTTAGAACTATTTTCTGCATTTTGATATTGTTTAAAACTTGTAAATAAACGAACAGCAAGTGTTCCATAATGCTCTTTAAAAAATGAATTTTTAAGAATCTGTAAATCAAAACCTTCAGCAGCTACAAATAATGATTGAACAATATTAGCCAATGCTTGTTCTCCACCAATAAAAGAAAGTCGATGATTGTCAGCAAAAAGAAAACTGACTGGAGATATTAACCTTTTTTAATTTAATTTAAAAAATTTGAAAAGAAAGGAAAACTTTTTTTCATGAATTTCTTTTTCTGTTCCACGTGTTGGAGCATTCAAAGTCAGAACAGAAAGCATTAATTTAAAACGAGCAAAAGTTCGCGCTAATAAACGTGCAGCAGAAATTGAACCATTCCAAAGCCGGACCTGAAAAACAATTTTTAATTTTTTAAATTAAATTTGTGAAATATTAATGAAACAAAAAAAATTTTGAAAAATTTTATTATCATTAAAAACAAATTTTTAAAAATAAAAAGATTTTTTAGTTAAACTAGGGTTGTTCACGACCGGTTAATTTTCACCTGAGGCGGCTTAATGTTCTTTAATTAATCAAAATTTTCCAGCGAGCTGCAACAGGCAAAAATTAACCGGGCGTGAACAGACCTCCTTCTAACCACCCCAACAAACTAAGTCCAATTAGAAAATAATTTTAACAACAAAAAAACCTCGCTTCCATAATAAATAAAACTATAAGCACATAAAAATACTAAAAACATTCCCAATCCAACACCAAGAGAAAAAAATAATTCATTCCCTTCTTGCACAATAGAAAATAATGCTGCACTTAATAAAGTAATTAATGCAGAAATTAAAAGAACAATTAAAATTAGGCTCCAACTCCAATATAATTCAATTCCATCTAGCCAAGTTCGAGAAAAAGACTTCATTGAATTTCTAATTCGAGATAATAATATTGATTTTCCAGATCCCCATTTTGCATAAAGACCAATTGTTAAAGGTAAAGAAAGATTTGGTTCACAAACAACATCAGCGATTACCTGAAAATCACTTGAAAAAAAATCTTTTTAAGAATAACATCTCCATATGAATCAAATCCCAAAAGACTTTTCAAATCAACTTCTGTTCCAAATGGACCAAATATAGTAGGCAATATTGGCTGTGGTGATTCTTGGTCTAAAAATTATATATTCAAATTAAAACTAAAATACTTCAAATTATTATTGATTTCAGAAACAATCAAATTTCAAAAAATTTGTTTAAAAATGAAATCCAAAGAAAATCAAAAATAAAAAAAAACTTTTCTCAAACAAACCTATTGAATAAGGTGTTTCACCTAATTTATTAGGTCGATAAAGCAGTTTTGAATCCGACGGGTTAACCAGCAAAATTTGAGTAAGACGACGAGAACGAGCTCTAAGTGCCAAATGAAGAGCTTAAAACAAACATTAAAATTAAAGAAAAAATAATAAAAACCGTTATCTCCAGCATTATCTGTTGTACTTAATTTTGCTCCCATACTAACTAATAATTGAGAGACTTGAACATCACGATTTTTAATCTTATTAGAAAATTGAAAAAAAAATAAATTAATTTTATTAAAATTTACAGCTCTAAGTAAAGCAGTATCACCATCTCGATTTTTTAATTCCAAATTGGGCTTCTTTTCAAGCAAAGCCAAAACAATATCTGAAAAAATGCATTAATTTTTGGTTATTTTAATCAAAAAAATAAACTAAAATAAAACAAATGCAAAAAATTAGGGATAAAAACTTAAATGACTGGAAATGAGTTTGAGAGACTAAAAACAAACTAATCGAGTAAATACCAAATCCGATAGAAAGAAAATATACCTGAATAATTTTTATCAATAGCCAGATGTAGAGGAGTTCTCCCTTCAGAATCTTTAGCATTAACATCAGCATGCCTTTCTAAAAGCATACGAACCTTAAAAATATTTAAAAACTAAAATAAATTAAATAAAAATTTACCAAATTTATATTTCCAGAACGAACAGCGTTAGCCAAAATTGAATTACCAAAACGATCAACTGTATTAACAAAAGCACCGGATTGAAGTAATGAAGCAGCTATTTCCGTGTAGCCTAAAATAAAAATGTAAAAATAAAACAAAGAATGAATAAACATTCAGGGAAGGCAAAAAATATATAAATAGAATCGAAAAAAATGAAAGAATTTTAGGATTCTTTTAGAAGCAAAGCTCATTGGACTTTTAGAATCAAGTCTAAAGAGAAACAAAATAAATTCAAAACCTTCTCTAGCTGCAATTCCAAGTGCAGAAAGTCCATTATAATCAACAATATTCACATTAGGTTCACGTGCCAACAATGCCTCAACAACAGGAATATAATTTCCTCGTGTAGCAAGCATTAAAGCACTCGAAGCTACAAAAATTAATTTTTAAAAAATAAAAATTAGAAAAGAAAACCTTGCATTCCAACAGCATCCAATTCAGCCCCAGAATTTAAAAGATATTGAACAATTTGAAGGTGACCTTTCCTTGCTGCCCAAATTAAAGCTGTACTTCCAAATTTGTCACTAGTATTTACTTGGGCCCCAGCTTCTAATAATTTTGGAACTAATTCAACAAATCCTCTTCCTTAAAATTTTTATTAATTTAAAAAAAAGCGAAAACTTTTCCTTAACCTGAAGCAATAATTAAAGGTGTAAGTCCATCCTCTTCTCCAACAATATTTACATGTGCTTTAAATTCAATGAGTACATCAACAACTTCAGGTCGATTTTTATAACAGGCCCACATTAAAGAAGTCCAACCCATCTAATAATTAAATTTTAATAAATAAAGAAAATTTTAAAGAGATAAGAAAAAATAAAATAGAAAAATAAAAAAATTATTTTCCCGGAAGGTTAAATTTTATAAGATTAATTTTATATAGGTAAGACACTAAATTAAATATAAAAATAAATCTACTAGTTTTTCCGCAAAAATAACACAAAAGAAAATAATTCCAAAAATTAAAAAATACCAAATCCGGATTTTCAATAGAAGCCCCAGCATTCAACAAAGTTCTAACAATATCAGCAAATCCATGATGTGAAGCATTTAATAAAGCTGTCCATCCATCATAATCAGTTTCCTCAACATCAATATCCCCAACAAGTCTTTCAACAATTTCGTGATGTCCAAGACGTGCGGCAGCATTCAACAAAGTTTCCCCAGCAGAATTTTTCATAGCAGAAACATGAACTTGTGTATTGTTGAAAAATGGAAATTTTCCTTTAAAAAATAACTTTAAAAGAGAAATTAATTTAAACAAACCATCTTCAACTAATTGAAAATATTCATAAACATTTGAAGGAATATTTGAAGAAGACGATTCTTCATTTGAAAAGAAATGTAAATCTCCGTGATCCCGATGGATAGATCTTTGCTCCATTTTTTCGTAACTAAAAATTTCAAAAAAAAATTAACAAAAAAAATAAAAATTTTTATGTAGAAAGATAAAAGAGTAGAGAGAAAAAAAGAAAATTTTAATAAAAACATTTCGCCAAAATTATACATTTCTCATTTTTTTAAAAAAGTTATTTCACTTTTTGTTGAAGAATAAATATTCGTAAAATCATTTAATCTCGAAGTTTTACTTTAAGTGTTTATTTTCTTGTTTTCATACATATACTTGAATACTCGTGACCGAAAAGGATTATGTAGTCTGCGGGTTTACACCCAGACAACCAAGATTTCAATTCCGCTCTACAGGCACCGAACCTAAGTTCCCATTACTAAAAGTAGATTACCGTATTTCCGAAAATAAAACCCACTGTGAAATAGAGCCCCACCTTGGACGATAGTTGAAAAATAGAGCCCCATTGGGTTTTATTTTCGGAAATACGCTATTCTAAAGAATATCCTTGTCCTTTTCCAATGTTTTATTTTTATTTCTATTTTTCTAAATCTTTTAATTAAATTAAATAG